TTCGACCAGGTCGAGAGAGTCTTGCCGCCTTTCGGGTAGCTTTTTAACTAATCATCTGTATTATCTGCGAGGCTTCGGCAACAGCCTACGTTGTTTTCGTACAGGGTGCAGATCTGGCTACCGAAAGTCTTGCTGCAATTCGCAGTACATAATAGTCCCCCAGTCTTCCCTAATAATCCTCTCTTGAAAGTACTCGCCTAGCCTTTTCAGTGGCTCCAGTCGACGGTTGTGCATGGCAGACTCTAGGAAGCCGTCATCACATACATAGCTCGTAGCTTCGAGACGCCACGCTGTAGCACCACTTAGGGTTTCCTCGTCCCAAGTCATCCTCCCACCCTCTGCAGATTCACTAACCATGCTGACTCCAATCAGCCAGACGTCGACTTTTTCAGCCGCGTCGGCTCTCACAAGCGTAGGTCCGTCGTCATACCGGGACCGAACAGCAGAGCTCTTCGCTATCGCAGAAGGCCTTCAAAAAGCGCCGCCACTGCCAGGAGCTGCGAATGGCGATGTTACCAGTGGTTTCGCCCGATCATCGGATAAGAGCCTCGCGACCGTCCCTGTCGGCGGGTCTCCCGGCGGAATCGCCGGTGCAGGCGGTCCGGGAGCCAGCTCTGCGGGGTCTGCGGTTCAATCAGAGTTCAACCGGAGAGCGTCGCGAATCGGGTTGTGTATTCACCAGACGACTCAGAAGCTGCAGAAGCTGGCCAAACGTATGTGATGAATTATTTCAAGAATAGAAATAACGGTGTATGAAACTCAAGGGAGGAGGTCGGGGTCTTCAGAAATAGATTAGCAGTGTTCGTCCGTTTGCGTTTCTTAGCTCATATATCACGTGGAGACAAGGCGTCGCTATAGGTGTCCCGTTCATTACCCGCGAGCCCTGACCGTGGTTCCTTGCCCTCCCGTTTTCTTTATTTTCTACCTCGTCTGCAGTGGCCAAGAGAACGTCGATGTTCGATGATCCAACGGCGGAGATTCAAGATCTAACGGCGGTGATCAAGCAGGACATCACGGCGTTGAATGCGTCGATCTCAGACCTTCAAGCGCTCTGCGAGGCACAGGCAGAGGCGAGCGGCGGAAAGAAGGGGCAGAACCGACACACGAGTGAGCACAGCAACACGGTCGTGGATAATCTCAAGAGCCGCCTCATGAACACCACCAAGGAGTTTAAAGACGTCCTTACAATGCGAACCGAGGTATGTCTGTCTTGCTGCGTCATGGGGGCGACACGTCTTGTTGCCAGCATATGTGCTTTCGAAGTTATGCGCGTGGTGTAAGGGCGTCGTCACGGTTCTCCGTGTTATGGCCGTTACAGGGTGTACGCATTTGCGGAAATGGCATAATTTCCCAATTCGGATGCTTCACGCGTGCTCGAAAATTGCTCTATCGTTCTCACGCTCAAGTGCGACTCCTGCCGCCCCTTGCCATTCTCCCGAACCTTCCCAGAACCTCAAGGTCCACGAGAACAGGCGCCAGCTCTTCTCCGCGACTTCGGGGATCGCGGGTGCGTCAGGCGCGCGGCAGCGGCCAGCAGCCGCCGCGCTCTCCGCCGCCCCGCCCCCCTGGGCCGCAGCATCTGGCGCGTCGTCGGCCACGTCTGCGTCACAACTATTCAGCAACACTCCCAGGTGGGTGGGTATAGCATTCGCAGGTGTGTGGGTATAGCATTCGCAGGTGGGTGGGTATAGCATTCGCAGGTGGGTGGGTAGCACTCTTGAGACGTCTCAAAAGCCTCTCTGGGCCATTGCCTTTGGCGCGTCCTCGGCCACTTCTGCGTCACAACTATTCAGCAACACTCGCAGGGGTGGGTATAGCATTCGCAGGTGGGTGGGTAGCTCCCAGGTGGTGGGGGAGTAGCACTTCATGTGGGTGGGTGGGGGGGGGAGGGGGGGGGTGGGGGTGGGGATTGCGCTGCAGCGCGGAGTAGAGTGAATGGGACGAATGAGGCGAATGATGTCAGTGAAACTAACAAGCTCAATGAATTTACGAGGTAAAATGAGGTCACTGAATCGAACGTGTTCGGTAAGTTTGATGAATCGAAAGAGGTTAGTCGGTGCTTGATTGACTTGGCAGAGGCGGTTCTAGCAGGGCAGGACTCCTCTCGCAATGGAGACAAAGGCGTCGAGGTGGGAGGGAGAAGCATGGCGTTGAGGATCAGGGACAGAGTCAGGTTTGTACAGCAACAGCTCGTAGTACGCTTCAGTAATGTAGCGCCAGTTGCAAAAGCGGCTCTGGCACCTAATCTCTGAGACCATCACCTCCTTTGGCACCTCCTTTGGCACCAAGTGCACAGACTGAAGCAGGCTGATGGAGCTCAACTGAAGCGGGAATGAGCGGGGCATCTGGCAAGATTAGGTCAGGGTGTGGTTCGGTCATGCTGGCGTGGTGGAATGTACATGTATGGAGACATTAGGGTTCGTATGGGTGTCGGTTGGGTTTATCGGAGATGGTGGTACGACAATGGAGGGATGTAAAGCACACAGGGAATGTGTGTTTAGCAAGTTAATGCTCACTGTATGACCTCTTCCTCACAACGGCGCCTCCCTGTGCTTCCCTATGCCCTGCTCTTTACTCTCCCTTCCCCACTCCCCCGTGCTTCTTCCTCTGTCCTCGCTCCAGCAGCGGCACGAGGAGGAGCCACCCGTTTGACCCACTGCAGCAGCAGGGGCAGCAGCAGGCGCTGCTGGCGCAGCAGGACTCGTACATGAGCAGCCGGTCAGAGGCGCTGCAGAACGTGGAAACCACCATCGTGGAGCTCAGCACGATATTCCGGGACCTTGCCACCATGGTGGCGCAGCAAGGGGAAATGGCCATTCGGTAAGTCAGCACCCACCACCCACCACCCTGCTTCCCCCTTGCCTCCTATCCACTCTCTTCCTCCCCCCTCCCCACTTCCCCCCGCCCCCCTCTCTTCCCCCTTTCCCCGCACCCTCCGCCATCCCCTTCCGCTCTCACCTCGTCGTCACTCCTCCCCCCCCCTCCCACCTTTTCCCCCCCTCACCCCCGCTCACCTCTTCTCCCCTTCCCCGCCCACCCTTTCCCCCTTTCCCCGCCTCACCCCTTCCCCTCCCGCTCCCACCCCCTCTCCTCCCCTGTCCCCCTCCCCTCCGTGCAAGCGAGAGGGGGACTTGGTAGCGACTTGGTTTCGTAACTGGTGTTGGACGTAATTTTGGTGCATGTGATGGGGTTGGGGCTGCAGAGCTTGACCCCAGCGTTTGGATAACCCATGTATGCCCATCTCTTCACTTGTTTTGCAGCATCGATCAAGACATGGACGATACTTTGTCAAATGTGGAGGGAGCACAAGGCGCCTTGCTCAAGTATCTTAACAATATCTCGTCCAACCGATGGCTCATTATCAAGATCTTCTTTGTGCTTATTATCTTCCTGCTCATCTTTGTTGTGTTTGTGGCATAGACGTTATGAACCATACCTATATTCTGCTTCTCAGCTTCTGCTGTGCAGTGTTTTGGATGTGCAGTGCTTTGGCAAAGTAGGTGAAAGCCTGCAGCATAGTTTGGTCCTAAACTCTATTGTGTACATTCCACATGCCATTAACACATATTGGATAAGGATTTGTGAAGCAGGGAAATTTGCTCAAGTATTCAAGAACGCATCATCAAATGAAGGAGTGTTTCAATCGGAAAGAACTACGGGCATCTTTATGATGTACAGTTGCAACTATGGACGAACAAAATAGGTGCTGTTAACGAATACAGATTCCTGTCAACGCTGTACACACGATATGGCAGTGCTCTGATCTCTTTTCACGCTCCTCAAAATCGCCTTCGTTCCTCGTAAGTAATCCTATCAGTTGCGTTCTTCGAAGCTAGTAAGTCGATTTTCCCTCGATCGTTCGTTCAGCTGTTGGTTTCCATCCGGCCATGGCCGCTAGACTTAGGCCTTCCGCCATGGCGCGTCGTGCCATGCTTATTCGGGTAGGTTCTTTGTCCGCATGTCTGCTGCTTTGTGCCCTCACCTGGCGCCGATATACGACCTCCGTGTCAGCCGATCTCGACCAATCACCATCTTCCTCGTCATCACTGGCCTCATCCCTTTCATGGTTCTCGCGCAAAGCAGCCAATAAGCTTGATCCGACTGTCCAGGACGGGCAGAGTAAGAAAAAGGTTCAGTTGCCCCTTGGTCCTCACCTCCACCTGCGTAATTTCGTCTCCCAACGTTTCTACGAACCCCGTGTACCTATGGCTAACTCCAAACCTCTCGCCGAGACTCATTCCGAACCTCATTCTCACACGCAGCACCCACGGCGGCACCGCTCAGGTCTGTGCGTTGCCATCCCCACCATCCCTCGGCCGACCGTGGAGCCGAACGTGTCCAGCTGGCAGCTCCTCACCCGGCTTTTGCGGGATCTGGACGGCGAGCGCGCCTCGGGAGAGGGTGTATTAGACCACGCAATAAAGGTGGTAGTGTATAGCGCGTCGTGTATGTATAGGTTCCAACCAGGGGCGGCGGATGTGGGGAACGTAGTGGGGGACGGGACACGTGTCACTGAGCTGAATCGGGCTGTTGAGGAGCAGTACACGCAGGCGCTTAGGGTTTCGAGGGAGCTGTCTGTCCCCGTTTATGTGGTCCCCGCTAACGTGGAAGTTTGTGCGTTTATATATAACAAGACACGTATGGAGGAGGTTGTGCCGAGCGAGCTACAGTACAAGGATTGGAGTCGGTGGATGTGGATGGCGAAAGAAAGCATCGATTTTGTGTACGCCGTGCGGCAGTGTATGGTTACCAACCCACGTTACATCTTGTTCTTGGAGGACGACACGAAACCCATCCATCGTTACGACTCAGCAATTGAGCGTTTCATCTCTGAAGACCTTGTAAACAAGTCCTGGGCCGTGCTATCCCTGTACCTCCCGCGATCATACCATTGGCCAGTGCAACACGCAGACGAATACTCAATCCCCTGCTGCACCCAGGCGCTGCTATTCAACGTTACTGCGTTACCACCACTGCTGGATTTCGTGGAAGCGAATTTCATGCGAGCCCCGATCGACCTGCTACTGCGCGACTACTTGAAAGAGAAGGGCCTGCACGCGTATGTGCACGTGCCGTCGCTGTTCCAGCACATGGGCGTGTACAGTACCAAGGACGGCAGCAGCAAGGCGTTTCACTTTGACTTTCTGTTTGGGAAGAACGCGTCTGCGTTGACGGCTATGGGCGGCGCTGTGGAAGGCGTGAGGCTGGCGCCTCTGAATTTGACCTGAGGGAGAGGAGGAGAGTGGGGGATGGATGGGGAAAGGGAGGTGGTTGTGGTGGTGGTTGTGGTGATGATGGTGATGGTGATGGTGGTGGTGGTGTCGTGATGAGATGCGATGATGGTGCGAATTGGTGGTCTTTCATGGTGATGGTGGGCATGTTTATGGGCAGGAGTGTGTTGCTGCTGATGGGGTGGATGTTGGTACTGGGTGTGAGTGCCAGATGGAATTTGACTGGATGGGGTGACAAGGCAATTTTTTGGCATGTTGCTGATGGTGGTATATGGTGGTTGATGGTGGCTGAAGATGGCTGAAGCTGGTGGAAGGGATGCATTTACCACAATAAAAGTCATGCAATCCAATGCAGGGATGCAGCATGCGCTGTGGTGCGGTGTTGCTGAGCCGTCAGCAAGCATGCGATGGGATGTGCTTGTGGCTTTTTGCAAGAATGGGGCCTGCAGAGGAGGAGACGAGGTGATCAAGCCACGTGTTTGCTCTCATGGCTGTCGTTCTTGCTACAGCGACCTTTTCAAGGTAAGCACCAGGCACCTTCACACCCGGTAAGATTACAGCACATCCGTGTACCCATGCCTTTTTTCTGATGCACCTCAGTGACTCATGTGCTCGTCGCCAATTGGTTCTCAATAGCCGTGTCTGTATGTTTCTCCGCCCATCGCCCTGTACCATGGTTTGCTTTCCAATCTCTTATGCTGATTGCACATGTGCTTGATTGCTGTATTGTGTTTGCAACAGATCCCATCCCAGCCTCTTGCTTGTGAGTGAGCTCCAGCTGAGTGAGCCTCTGAGCAGCTAATTTCTTGAATCAATGTTCGACGTTTTTAGTTTCTTAGCTACAAACATGTGGTTTGAATGGCTCCCATATGCAGTAAACGAGATTTATGATGAGCAGTTTGTAGTAGTCAAATATACAAAGCTCTTCCACCAATTATCTGTAACATATCATCGTTTTTGCAAGCGAGTCACCCTAGACATTTCCGCACTTAAAGCCAGGATCTCAAGTAGTTCAATTGTTTTGCAGTTGGTGAGGGGAGCTGGGCTGCGATTGGTTAGCGAGGTGAACAATCTGACGAGGTGTGAAGCGAGGGGTGCGAAGTAAAGACAAATCGCAAGTTCAGTCCGAACCAAGCAAGGCTCGGAAACTGGTTCGGTGACGAAGCTCCAATGCCTGCAATTTCTCGTCACACACAACAATCTCATGTACCAGCAAAATGTTTTGCATTTGCTCTAGGGGCAAAATCGTGGGTGTGCCGCACGCTCACTTTCCTAACCAGCCAGTCAATTCGCCTACAAAAATAGGGTAACAAGCGCTGCAAGTGTTTTGCAATTGAAGGCCAATTCTCTTACTTGAGATCCTGGCTTTAAGCAGTAGCGAACACGTCCCTGGGACCTGTTTCCCGCCAGTTGCCCTGCCGTGAGCCTAGCCCATTCCCGCAGCCCGCGAAACAGGCATTATCCAGGAGGCAGGCCAATACCTAGGCTGACAGAACGAGAGACACAAGCAAACATACTGATGCGATCAAGGTAGGAACGGAGCAGCCTTGGTTTGCAGCAGATGAGCCCAGCGACTCGCGCAGCCGCATCAGCTAGTGGCCACTGAACTTTGTGCCTAGCGTCCTTGTTTCACCTGTGAACCTTCGATTACTTGGTGATTAAATCTGCAGCTTGCAGGTCCGCTCAGTCTTCCAGGCACTTGATGTTATTCGGCTCGGTTGTCGGCTCGTGAATTCGCTGTTGGTAACTGTACTTGTTATTATTCGCCTGCAGTCGACTTTCTCGACCAACTACCGTCCTCGATAGAAAGCATCCGCACCAGCGACGTACATTATCTGCTACATTGGTCCAACTGCCTTGAGTTATTGATATTACCATTACTGAGACACCTATTATCGAGGCACATTCACTGTCGCTCTGCCTGCCATGGCCGCGGTACCCGCAATGCAAGCTCGACTCGGCACCCAAACCGTCGCACGTTCGGCTCCCGTCGCCACCACCCTTGTGCGACGTCGAATTACTGTCGCCGGGTTGTACGCGATCGCAACGCGCGAATCCCAGCCCAGCAGGCATTCACCGTTCCTCCAAAGCTCCTCGACCAAGTCATTGTGCGCGAGCTACGCGAATCGTTTCGCAACGGGACTTGTCGCGTGCGACAGCTGGCGACGGTCAAGCAGCCGCAATCATCATCGCCAGTGGCTGCACCCGAATAAGCCATCGCCGTCCTTGTTGTTCCGCTGCGCGGCGTCCGACGCCAGCTCCGACTCGCGCCGGCAGGCGGAAGCAGACGGCGCGGCCGCGGCGATTGCCGGGAAGGCGCCTTCAGGGGGAGACGCAAGCGCACGGGTACGTGTTACCCCGCAGGTCGCGCCGCAGCACTGGAATGGCTTCGCTATGGAATGCTGCTCTAAAAGAATCCCAAAACTCGTCCTTTAACAAAATGCTCAGCTTGAATCTCTAACCTTCCTACTAATTGTTCCCCGCGCCTTCCGTCGTCCCCCTAATCTCCCCACGTTCTTCCTCCCCGTGCCTCCATTATTGTGACCCCTCAGCCCAGCAGCAGCGGAAGCAGCGGCGCAGCGTCGTCATCTGTCGTGGCGCCGTTCATAGAGTACCTCAACAACTCGTGGACGCAGTTCCACGCCACAGGTGCGGCTTTTGAGTGAGTCGACTAAAACGATGATTGAATCTCAGCAAAAAGTGGTGCCGTTCATAGAGTACTTTAACAACTCGTGGACGCAGTTCCACGCCACAGGTGCGGCTTTTGAGAGAGTCGATCAAAACAATGGCACCGTTCGTAGAGTACTTTAACAGCTCGTGGACGCAGTTCCATGCTGCAGGTGCGACTTTTGAGTGAGTCAACTCAAGATTCACGTTCTAGTCTGTCATGGCACCGTTTATAGAGTGCCTATGAACACAGTTCCACGCCGCAGGTAAGTGACGCGCGCGGGGGAACGGGAGAGGGGGGATTACGGAATGAGGATGGGTGAGAGATGGGAAGTAGAAGGGATGTTGGGAGCAAATGGTACAAGGAGTAGCTGAGGGATGCGGGCGAGTGGAGGCATCTGGTTGTCATTACAGCATGTAGTAACTCAATCCATGATCCCTGTGCCATGCCACTTGAATGACCTCATTCTTGCTCCATGCATTTCCCCACCTTTCCACTTCACTTCTCTACTCCCTCCCTGCTGCCTCACCAGCATTGGCGCAGGACCTGTTGAGAGCAGCAGGGTACGAGCAGCTGAGAAAGGCGGACCTGGTACGATCCATGTGCCATGCAAACGCCCTCATTCCTTCTCCATTCATTTCCCTGCCTTTCCACTTCACCTCCCACCAGCATCGGCGAGGGACCTGTTGAGAGCAGCGGGGTACGAGCAGCTGAGGGAGTCGGACGCGTGGCAGCTGAAGCCTGGTGGCAAGTACTTCTTCACACGCAACCTCTCCTCCATCGTGGCGTTTGCTGTTGGGGAGAAGTGAGTTTGTTTGGGTGATGCGGGCATTCGCTCTGGGGAGAAGGTAGGGGGTACAGGGATGGGGAGGCAGAGGGAGTCGGCCGCGTGGCAGCTAAAGCCGGGTGGCAAGTACTTCTTCACGCGCAACCTCTCCTCCATCGTGGCGTTTCCCCTTTCCCCCTTCCTCTTTCCCCCTTCCTCTTTCCCTCTTCCTCTTTCTCCCTTCCTCTTTCCCCCTTCCCCCTTTCCTCTCTTCCCCATCCCACTTCCCCGTCCCCCCAGGGCGTCCCCCGCGTGTCTCCCATTGCGCATAGTGGCAGGCAGCACACACGGACAGCCCGTGTCTGAAGCTCAAGCCCGTCTCGGCCTCCGCCAAGGGCGGCTGCCTCTCCAACTCCCTTCACCCGCCGCTCCTTCCTTCCCCTATCGCCGTGGCCCCTTCCCCCTACCCCCTGCCCCCTTTCCCCATACCACCCCCCTCCCCTCCCCCCAGGGCGTCCCCTGCGTCTCTCCCGTTGCGCATAGTGGCAGCACACACAGACAGCCCGTGTCTGAAGCTCAAGCCCGTGTCGGCCGCCACCAAGGGCGGCTGCCTCTCCCTCGCCGTGCAGACCTACGGCGGCGGCCTCTGGCACACCTGGTTCGACCGAGACCTCTCCCTGGCTGGCAGTGGTGCTTTCTGAGTTGAACCAACTCCCCTCACCTGCCGCTCCTCCCTTCCCCCTTCCCCGTTCCTCCTTCCCCCTTCCCCCTACCCCCTCTCCCCTTCCCTCTTCCCCCATCCCCCTCCCCACAGAGCTTCCCCCGCGTCTCTCCCGTTGCGCATAGTGGCAGCGCACACGAACAGCCCGTGTCTGAAGCTCAAGCCCGTGTCGGCCGCCACCAAGTGCGGCTGCCTCTCCCTCGCCATGCAGACCTACGGCGGCGGCCTCTGGCACACCTGGTTCGACCGAGACCTCTCCCTGGCTGGCAGTGGTGCTTTCTGAGTTGAACCAACTCCCCTCACCTGCCGCTCCTCCCTTCCCCCTTCCCCGTTCCTCCTTCCCCCTTCCCCCTACCCCCTCTCCCCTTCCCTCTTCCCCCATCCCCCTCCCCACAGAGCTTCCCCCGCGTCTCTCCCGCTGCGCATAGTGGCAGCGCACACGGACAGCCCGTGTCTGAAGCTCAAGCCTGTCTCAGCCGCCACCAAGGGCGGCTGCCTCTCCCTCGCCGTGCAGACCTACGGCGGCGGCCTCTGGCACACCTGGTTCGACCGCGACCTCTCCCTGGCTGGCCGAGTGCTCGTGCAGGGGGAGGATGGCAGGGTGGCACAGCGGCTGGTAAAGATTGACCGGCCGATTCTGAGGATTCCTACCCTTGCTATTCACCTCGACCGGTGGGTGGGAGTGGGGGGGACGGGTAGGGCTGGTAAGGTGGTTTAGGGTGGGTGGCTGGGGCGGTTGGGTTGGGAAGGGGAAGGGTAGGTTGTGCTGTGTTGGGCTTGTGATTGGTGCATACGGGGGGTCAGAAGTGCGACCGAGACGAGACGAGACCTCTTCCCCTCCCTTCCCTTGACACCCCCACCTCCACTTCCTGAACCCTCTTCCTCTTGCACTGCTGTCCTGTTTTCTCCACCTCCTTCCTGACTGTTCCTTACTCCAGGAACGTGAACACAGACGGCTTTAAGCCCAACGCGGAGACCCATCTTGTGCCTGTCCTCGCCACCCACATTAAAGCCCAGCTGCGCGCCAACAATGGCGCTGCTGCTTCTAATGGTGCTGGTCCTGGTTCGGGCGGACGTCTTGGGGCAGCAGAGGGGGGCGCAGCAGCAGCTGCAGCAGCGGCTAGGTTGAATGGCAAGACGAATGGCACAGGCAGCAGCAATGGCAGTGGCGGTGGCGGTGGTGGGGGTAATGGCAATGGGAATGGGAATGGAAACTCGGAGCACCATCCACTGCTGCTGGAGGTGAGGAGGGGAATAAACATGGAGGGAGAGGAGAAGAGAAGAGAGGACAGAGAAGATGTGAGGGGGGAGGAGCGGAGAGGAGAGTTGAAGACCCATAGATGGGTTGAGGGGGGGAGTTGGGTATGCACTGAATAAAGCAAGGCAGGCAGGAAGAAAAGGGCGATGGAAGGCTGAATAGGAGGGGGAAGGGGAGGGAGGGAGATGGTGATGGGGAGGGGGAGGGATGGAAAGGTTGACGGCGATGGTGATGGGGATGGGGAGGGGAATGGTGATGAATATGGATCAAATGATGGGATAACCCTGAAATTAAAGAGCGCAACACACTCTCACTCACTCCCTTCCCTTTCTCTTCCGACTCTCTCTCTCCCATTCCCCCTCCCCCGTCCCTTCTTCCCCCTTTCCCCCTCCCCACCCACATTAAGCTCACCCCCAAATACATTACATACACACTCCTGCATCGCACGGCACCCTCATGCCAGCTGCTAGCAGAGCAGCTATCCTGCTCGCCCTCTTCCATCTGTGGCTTTGAGCTGAACGTGTGCGATACACATGCCCATCCCCTGTCTGTCTGACCCACTCACTCACTTGCTTTCTCTCGTTCCTCTCATTTCTTCCACTTTCCTCCCTCCCCCATCTCCCTCCCTCTCCCTTTTTGCTCCTTCCCCCCTTTCCCACTTTCCCAACCACACAACTCTCCTGCAACCGCACCCACCCACCAGCTGCTAGCAGAGGAGCTATCCTGCTCGCCCTCAGCTATCCTAGACTTTGAGTCGAACGTGTGTGACACACAGCACTATTCCCTGTCGAAGCCACTCACTCACTTTCTCTCTCACCCACATTTACACGCCCACCACACCAGCTACTAGCCGAGGAGCTATCCTGCTCGCCCTCAGCTATCCTTGACTTTGAGCTGTACGTGTGCGACACACAGCGCAGCACATCGTATTCCTTGTCCACCCCACTCCCCCTCCCACCACCAGCTGCTAGCAGAGGAGCTATCCTGCTCGCCCTCTGCAATCCTTGACTTTGAGCTCAACGTGTGCGATACACAGCGCAGCGTAGCGGGCGCGGGGGGAGCGGGCGAGTTCGTATTCAGCGGGCGGCTGGACAACCTGGCGTGCTGCTACACGGCCCTGCAGGCGCTGATTGATGCCGAGGGGCTGCAGGAGGAGCGGGGCGTGCGCGTGGTGGCTCTGTTTGATAACGAGGAGGTGCGTGCTTGGGCAGGTTGGTCGGTGGGTGAGTGGGAGGGTGGGTGGGTGGGTGGGTGGGTGGGTGGGGGAGGAGGGGGGGGTGTGCGAGGGTGTGTGGGGAAGGGAAGACTGTGAGGCAGGCTCACTCTCTTTTTTGCTACTTGTACATCTCAGCACATGCAGCTCACCCTCTCTTTCCTTGTCTCTCCCCTCCCTGCCTCTCCCCTCCCCTTGTTCTCCCTGCTTCTTCTCTCCCATCTGTGCGCATCAACAGGTGGGGTCAGAGTCTGTGAGTGAGGCAGCATCCCCCACCATGTACAACGCCAAGCGCATAGATGCCAGGGGTACACGCAGAGAAGGAATAAAGGCGCGCTTTCTTCTTTGCTACTTGCACACCCCAGCATCTGGAGTTCATCCTCTCTTTCCCTGTCGCTCCCCTGCCCCGTCTCTCCACTTCCCCGCCTTTCCCCCATCCCTGGGTGCACGTCATCAGGTGGGGTCAGAGTCAGTGAGTGGGGCGGCATCCCCCGCCATGTACAATGCCATCAAGCGCATCGTCAAGCAGATGCCGGGAGTAGAGGCGGAGGAGGGGGCTGTGGAGAGGAGTTTCCGAGCATCGTTCCTAGGTGCGTGGGTGAGAGAAGGTGGTTTTTAGGTGGACCCTCTTCTCCCACCTAATCCCCCATCTTCACCAGCCCCCTCCCCACTCTGTCAATGGTTGGTTGGCTGGTACTTATAACCATGGGATTCATTTCAACCACTTGTACGTGACATGTAAATTTATACGATTCTTACCCATCCTCAACCCCTCCCTCCCCTCGCCTCTTTGAGCGTGTGGGGAGGGAGAGAGGAAGAGACGCGGTTTAGGTGCTCCACCTCAGCGACTGGCCAGCGTGTCGTTTTAGTCGGCTCAAATCCCTATTCCCTGTTCACCCCTTCCCGCCCTCTACCCTCCTTCCCACCCCCTACGCTTCTTCTCAGTGAGTGCAGACATGGCGCATGCACTGCATCCCAACTACCCCGAGAAGCATGAGGAGCGGCATCAGCCACGGATGGGGGCGGGCATGGTGGTGAAGCACAACGCCAACCAGCGCTACGCCACCAACCTCGTCTCCTCCTTCCTCTTCAAACACCTCGCTGCCAAGCACGGCCTGCCCTGCCAGGTACGGCGCTTTTCTTGCTCCAACCTTTTGAGGTGCCTTTCTAACATAGCATTTTCATTAGCACCTTCGTTGAGGTGCCTTTTCCTGTCACGTTTTGTGTTCCTTTCCATTCTTCTAGGCCGTACTTCTCGCCCACCCCACAGTCCTTTGTGGTGTGCGCAACAACATGGGGTGTGGCCGTGTGGGTGTGGCAGCACGATCAGGCCCATCCCTCACTCTTGAAGGATCCCCTGTTACACGCACCTCAAGCATTTGCAAGCCCTTCTCTTCCTTTCCCTCCCTCCCAACTCCCTCTCCCCATCCTCCTCCTTCCCATACCACTACCCATACGCCTCACCGATACTCCTCCTCGCCCCTCCACACAGTCCTTTGTGGTTCGCAATGACTTGGGGTGTGGCAGCACCATCCGCCCCATCCTCTCCCATGACTGGTTTCTGTACAAACACCTCACATACTTACCGCCCCTTCTCTGCCTGTCCATTCCCCGTATCTCTCTCCCAATACCCCTTTGTCCTTCCCACACAGTCCTTTGTGGTGCGCAACGACATGGGGTGTGGCAGCACCATTGGCCCCATCCTGGCCTCGGGCCTTGGCATTCGCACCGTGGACGTCGGCATTCCTCAGCTCTCCATGCACAGGTGGGTGTAGTGAGGTGCAGTGCGTTGATGGTGTGTGTGCATGTGTGACGCATTTCAGAAAAAGGTGCTTTTGTGCCTTGCTTTGCGCCTTTACCATGCAGTGCCAGGCCAGGGCTTCTGAGTCGACTCAAAAGTCACCTCTTTTGCCTTGCTTTGCGCCTTTGCCATGCCGTGCCAGGCCAGGGCTTCAAGCCTCACGCCCTACCCACCCCCCCCAACCCGCTCCCTCCCCATCCTTCCCTTCCTTTTCTCCTCTCCCTGGTCCACGTGCACTGTATCCCCCTTGCTCCGTACCCCTCCCTTCCTCGTTCCCCCTCAACATAGCATACCGTCTCCCTTAGACCGTCCTTCCTTTCATCCCTCCCCTCCCTGCTCCTCACACACCGCTCCTCACCTTCCAGGAGATGAGTGCCTCTGTTGCTGCAGACGCTTTTTCAAAAATTTCTAGAATTTCGCAAAAACCGTCTGCGTTTGGGAGATGTGTGCATCGGACGACGACTACACGGCTTGCCATCTCCTCTAGGCTTCCTTTTTTTCCTTCATGGCTTCCTTCATCCTCCACACACACACACACCCCTCCGCAACCCCACCCCCCCCCTCCTACCTTCTCTTCAAGGCCTTCCTTCCTTCTTCCATCCCCCCCTGCTGTTCCGTACCCACCCCTTCTCACACCTCTTTCTGCAGCATCCGGGAGATGTGTGCATCGGACGACATAGACACAGTGTACCATCTCTTCAAGTCTTCCTTCCATCCCTTCTCTCCTCCACACACGCACCCATCCTCACCCCCCTCTTTGCAGCATCCGGGAGATGTGTGCATCGGACGACATAGACACGGCGTACCACCTCTTCAAGGCCTTCCTTCCTTCCTTCCATCCCCTCTGCTCCTCCGCACACACCCCTCCCCACTCCCTCATGTGCAGCATCCGGGAGATGTGTGCATCGGACGACATAGACACAGCGTACCATCTCTTCAAGGCCTTCTACTCCACAGCCTTTGCAGAGGTTGAGGACTCTATGGACCTCGATGAATGATCCACTGGGAGGAGAGGAGGGCAGCCTTGGGGAATTCTCAAAGGTGAATCCACAGCCTTTGCCGAGGTTGAAGGGTTTAGGCAGTACTCCCTGGAACTCCATGAATAAGCTACCGCAATACAGATCCCACTGGGTGGAGAGAACATAATTCCCGACGTACATGCCTCATGCCTCATCACCACCTATCCATTCCACGTGCATGCATGGTTCGGTGTGCGGTTCGGTGCGGTGATACACCCAGCCAAGGCAAGGCGAGGGAGGAACACGAAGGGCAGGTGGCCGATTCATGCCTGGCTGACTTGCTCCTCTGAAAATGCAATTTGTACTTCCAAGCTTTTTGTTGCCTTGCGTTGTGGCTATTGTTTCTGGACGCTGTTTTCAATTGCTGGCCGTATTTTTCTATTATTATTGTCTCAGAATCTACATGCAACGGAATGATTGGGATTAGGGTTTGCAAGCATACAAATAGGAGTCCTACAAATGTTGTACCCTCTAGGGAGTGCCTCACTGCAGCCTATCATAACATTAACATTTGACACACCCCCATAGGCTAAGTGAGGGACACTAGGGCAAGCAAGGTGAAAACAAACGGTCACAAGACCAGTCAAGGCAAGACAAGCTCAGGGTGGATCTCAAGGACACCACACAAATTCTGAGCACAAGCAAGCGGCCACAAGGCCAGTTCAAGAGTTCACTAGGATATAAATAGGAAAACACAACAAGCAGAGCAAGCAACAAGACTACAGCAACCGGGGGCCTACCTCAACAAGCCCCAACTGCACACAGAACCTGTGGTGATCACCAAGCGCCAAGGCCTTGGTGAAGACGTCTGCAGTGTTGGCCTCTGAGGCCACAAAGTCCAGGCGTGCCTGGCCGCGTCGCTGCAGCTCTCGCAGGAGGAAGTACCTCACGTCAATATGCTTCACTCTGCTCTCCAGTCGAGGCTCTCGACACAGGAGGATCATGGCCTTGTTGTCAGCGTACAAGGTCGGTGCAGAGCGAGGCCGCTCACCAAGGTCGGCGAGCAAGAAGGTCAACCAACGAAGCTCCTGTGCCGCCATGGCACCAGCGTAGATCTCTGCCTCTGCACTGGAAGTAGCCACAGACGACGACCGAGTAGACCTCCACGACACAGCACCAGCTCCCAGACTGAAGCAGTAACCCTGAGTCGAACGCTGAGTCTCCACGTCGTCAGCGTAGGAAGAGTCGCAGTGACCAGTCAACGCCACTGGCTGAGTCCCTCCAAGCACAAGCCCCATGCCTGATGTAGTCGCCAGGTACTTCGCCACCCTCACAGCAGCTGTCCAGTGGACAGGACGGTGTCTCCCAGTCGCAACAAAGCGAGAGAGGACGTTGAGGGGAAAGGCGAGGTCCGGCCGAGTACACGTCATCAGGTACATGAGGCAGCCCACCAGCTCTGCGTAGGGACCACTGGACTCAAAAGGCTCGTCGGGAAAGGGGCCAGTGAGTCTGTGGTCAACAGCAAGAGGAGTGGGCTGTGTGGTGGAGAACTGGAAGTCGAACCGCCGAAGGACCTGCTGCACCATGTGTGACTGCGTCAGTGTGATGGTGCGAGCGGCTCTGTCCCGGGTGATCTGCAAGCCAAGGTAACGCTGCAGCTCACCCAGGTCAGTGCACTTGTGTCTCTTCTGCAGTTCGAACTTCACCTGAGCCAGGGCTGCCCTGTCTGCTGTAGCAAACACCAAGTCGTCGACGTAGACAAGGATAAAGAAAGGAGTAGAACCCGCTCGAACAAACAGCGACGGGTCGGCGGAGGACGGGCTGAACCCAAGGTCACGAAGCGTGGAGCGAAGAGTGTCGTGCCACTCATGAGGCGACTGGCGGAGACCGTAGACTGGTCGCCTCAGGCTCCACTGGGTCCCAGGTGGGAAGGTGTCAGTGAAGCCAGGAGGACGGCGCAGCCAGATCTCCTCGTGCAGTCGGCCCTGGAGGAACGCAATGGAGAAGTCGAGGGAGTGCAGCTCGTAGTCTCGCTGCGCTGCTATGTGGAGTAACACCCGAAGAGTAGTCATCTTCGGGGTCGGGGCGAAGGTCTGGAAGAAGTCAACTCCCTCACGCTGACTGAAGCCCCTAGCCACGTAGCGCGCCTTGAACACCGGCGGTGCTCCAGGCGGCCGCTTCACCTTGAAGAGCCACATGCCATCGACTACGTTCGCCCTGGGAGGGGGAACTGCGTCGACGTAGGTGCCTGTGGATCTCTAAGACGCCAACTCTGAGTCCATAGCCGCTTTCCACTGAGAGGCCCACGCCCCTGACACTGCCTCGCGGTAAGTGCGAGGAGTCGGTATGTCAAGGGCGTCGGGGTCTCCCTCAGGGGAGAGCAGCATGGCACACACAGAGGGAGAAGCGGCTGCCCAGTACTCCAGCTCAGACTCTCTGTCCTCTAGGACGTCACAGCCAAGGGCAAACTCACCCCCGACGGACAGAGGACGGTAGGGAGGAGCTGGCACCACACGGGTGGCGTAGTCAAGGCGGCTGGCGGCAGCAAACTCAGCGACAGCGGCAGTGAGAGCAGAGACCGACGACGGAGGGAAACGAGAGTCGGTGACAAGAGTGGCGAGGACACGTGCGGCAACAGGACGAACAGTGCGGTAGTAGTCAGTGATAGGAGTGGGGATGGCTGGGAGAGAGGACGGAGGAGGAGACGGGAGAACGGACATAGGAGAAGGAGAACGACGACGAGACGTACAAAGGAGGGCAGTGTGGAGGTCAGTAACAGGGGACGAGTGACGAGCACGCGGAGGACAACGAGTGACCAAGTCGCGACGGACCGAAGGAGGAGGAGACTGGGGAGGAGGAGAAGACCAGACCGCCGGACGGTCGTCAGGAGGAGGCAACGGAGGAACAAACACAGGAGGAGACTGGGAGCGGACAGGAGGAGAGGAGGAAAAGCCAGGGCCCGCAGGCCACTCACAGGTGGGAACAACTGCCGCTCCAGAGGAAGCTGCGGTGGCGGCTGCGGTTGCTGCTGCTGCGGCGGCGGCTGCGGCTGCGGCTGCTGCTGCGGCTGCTGCTGCTGCTGCTGCTGCTGCTGCTGCTGCTGCTGCCGCTGCTGCTCCAGAAGGTCCAGCACCCGCAGCTCCTGCCGCTCCCTCTCCAACCGCTCCTGCTCCTCACGCTCACGCCGGCGGGCAGCCTGGAGTCGTGTGTCGTGGCGGTGGGGAGGCGGAGTGGACTCCGCAGAACCAGGGTCAGACTCCTCAGAATCAGCACCCCCAGAACCAGCACCTCCAGTGCCAGGACCTCCAACTCCAGCACCCCCAGTACCAGCACCTCCAGTGCCAGGACCTCCAACTCCAGCACCCCCAGATTTAGCACCACCAGTGCCAGCACCTCCAGCTCTAGCACCCCCAGAGCTAGCGCCACCTGCGCCAGCACCTCCAGCTCCAGCACCCCCAGAGCTAGCGCCACCTGCGCCAGCACCTCCAGCTCCAGCACCCCCAGAGCTAGCGCCACCTGCGCCAGCACCTCCAGCTCCAGCACCCCGCGACCGAGTGCCCCCAGACCTAGCACCGCTAGTGGCTGCACCTCCAGCCCCAACACCAACCGAGTCCACAGTAACCTGTCGCGGAAGTGCCGAAGGCTGCTGAGGGGACTGTGAGGAGGACTGTGGGGAGGGAGACGCTACCTGACGCGCGACCGAGGGTAGAGGGGTAACGTGGGACACACCAGACGGGGCAGGACCAGGGGGGGGCGGGGGTACCGGAGGAGCGGGAGCAGGAGGAGGAGAGGGTGCGAGGAAAAGAGGGGGAGGGGGTACCGTGAGACCTCGACAGGGGTACCGTGTGTAGTAGGAAACGGACTCGTCAAACCGGACGTCACGGGAGTCTAGGAAGTGGTGGAGGGGAGGGTGGTAAAAGGACCAATCGGCAGAGTCCACTGGGAAACCAAGGAAGACACAGGGGACGGCGCGTGCCGAGAGCTTGTCCGCGGAGGTGTCGCGAACAAGTGCAAGGCAGCCCCAGACTCGAAAGGCCGACCCGACACCAGGGGAACCAGTCCAAAGACTGGTCGGTGAAACCTCGGGCCGCGAGACACGCGGCTGGAGGTTCAGCTGGTGTGCGGCGTAGCGAACCGCGTGGGGCCACAGAAAATGGGGCGCACGGGCATGGATCATGGACGTGCGGGCGATGTCCATGACCAAGCCTATGCGGCGCTCAGCAACCCCATTCTGCTGTGGGGACTCTGGCAGCGTCCAGGACTGGGTGATGCCCTGTTCGCCGCAGAATCCGCCGAGAATGCCGGAGCGAAACTCGCCCCCACGGTCGGAGTGGAGACAACTGACTCGACGACCACGAGTGCCCTCAGTGGCTAGAAGCCACCTGATCAGCGTAGCAGTCACCTCGGACTTCTTCGCAAGAGGGAACACTGTGGTGTACCTGGAGAAGTCGTCAACGACCACCAGAAAGTAACGCTCCCTCCCAGACCCCTGCGTCGGGGCAGGGCCCCAGACGTCCAAGTGGAGAGTCTCGAAGGGAGCGGTGGCCGGACGAAGGGAGGAGTGGGGAGTGGCGCGTAAGCGACCGGCGACGCACGGAGAGCAAGGAGGGGCAAGCGAGAGAGGGAGCGACGGGAAGGTGCGTGGGAGACCTGAGACAAGTCCCTGACTGAGCATGCCACGTAGGCGAGGGAGCGACGGGTGGCCAAGGCGGTGGTGCCTACTCATGCCTTTCGAAGTTGAGCACCTGATGTGCATTAATGGCCATACCGGTACAAGCATGCATAATCTGTAGTGATTGTACCAATCAAATACTCTAGGGAGCTACTATATTGGTGGTCCACTAAAAAAATACAGCTATAAATAGGCACACGTAGAACTTAGCTGTCATACTGTCAACAATCCACAACTAGAACAAATACTGGTAATCCATCTTCACGACCATAAGCCACAGGATCCGGAAGTGCTTTCGTGTCCCCCCCAGTCACTGCTTTCCTGTCGGGCAGCAAATCCCATGCCACCCTTCCACTCATCCCAACACACAACTACCCTGATACGGTAATATCCATGCCAGCTTGTCCTGCTATCCACCTCCCCACATACCATACTCCACAGTTGCCCTATCCATCCACCCACCTACCCATATATCCCACTACTACACCTCTCATGAACCACCTAACGCCGGTTATACTTGATAAAGCGCAACCCGAGATAAGCCCCCGCCCGAAACACCACAATAAACGCCACCAGCGCAAGCACGTTCCACCCCACATTGCCCCGATTCAGCGAGCGCTGCTGCTCTGCCACTGTCCAAGCCAGCACATCCCCCTGGTCGGTAATCCTAGAGCACGTGCAGTTAGGGCAGGCGGCAGGGTTGGTAGGACAGCCAGGAGCAGAGCAGGGGCCGCCGGGAGTGGTGGTGTCGCAGTAAAAGGCGATGGAGAGAAGGGAGTTGAGGGCGAACTGGGTGGGGTTGAGGTAGTAGAGCCACACCCAGAAGCTGGGGATTTCGGTCTTGGGGATCATGAAGCCGGATGTGATGTTCCAGATGTTGACTATCACAGGGATGATCACAGTGGCCGTCTGGGGGGGGGACGAGGGGGTACAAGCAGGGGGGAAACGAAAAGAGGAACAAGTATGAGGCAGTGGAGGGGAAAGCCGGATGTGATGTTCCAGATGTTGACTATCACAGGGATGATCACAGTGGCCGTCTGAAGGGGGGAAAGGGGGGATGAGAAGAGGGGGAGATGAAGGGTGATGGACCATATGAGGGCAGAGGCGGTAGGGGAAAGGAGCTGGGGATGTCGGTCTTGGGGATCATGAATCCGGATGTGATGTTCCAGATGTTGACTATCACAGGGATGATCACAGTGGCCGTCTGCAGGGGAAGGGAAGGGGGACAAGCAGGGGGGAACGAAGAGAGGAACAAGGATGAGGAGGTGGAGGGGAAAGACGGATGTGATGTTCCAGATGTTGACTACCACAGGGATGATCACAGTGGCCGTCTGGTGAGGGACAAGGGGGAGGAGGGGTAGGAGAAGGGGGTGAAAGAAAGGGGGGTGGAGGATGAGGGGGAGGGGAAGACAGGGAGGGGAAGACTGAGCTTGAGGGTGAAGGGGAGCATGAAACGTCTGAGTGCAGCAAGGAGGGAGGAGAAAGAATCTGGGGATGTCGGTCGGTCTAAAATGCCCTTTTGTTTCTTTTAGACGACTCAAAAGGCCTAGGACATGGTGTTTGAGATGTGTCTATCACAGGAATGACTCTTTCCGCACCCACCCACCCAGCCACACCCCAAGCACCTGACTCAACCACACGGGCGTACCTCGGCGTTGGGCGTGAGCATGGCAAGTCGGGCCATATGTGCGTGGGCGTACCTCGGCGTTGGGTGTGAGCATGGCAAGTCGGGCCATATGTGCGTGGGCGTACCTCGGCGTTGGGTGTGAGCATGGCCATGAAGATGCCGTAGTAGGTGATGCAGGAGGAGTAGAGGAAGAAGTTGAGCCAGAACAGAAAGAAGTCCTCTGCACTGTGCGTTGACACTCCCGCCATGCCGAAGCAGATGCTGCAGAAGATGAGCGTCGTGAGCGCGAGGTAGGGCATCTGAAGGGGGGTGTGGGATGGGGGGGAGAAGGGGGAGAGAGGGGAGAGTGAGGCAAGAATATCAGTAAAGGAAAAGTGACTTGCCCTGTGCATGTTACTGTGCATGTTGCTGTGCATGTTACTGTGCATGTTGCTGTGCATGTTACTGTGCATGTTGCTGTGCATGTTACTGTGCATGTTGCTGTGCATGTTACTGTGCATGTTGCTGTGCATGTTACTGTGCATGTTACTGTGCATGTTGCGGTGCATGTTGCTGTGCATGTTGCTGTGCATGTTGCTGTGCATGTTGCTGTGCATGTTGCGGTGCATGTTGCGGTGCATGTTGCTGTGCATGTTGCTGTGCATGTTGCTGTGCATGTTGCTGTGCATGTTGCGGTGCATGTTGCTGTGCATGTTGCTGTGCATGTTGCTGTGCATGTTGCTGTGCATGTTGCTGTGCATGTTGCGGTGCATGTTGCTGTGCATGTTGCTGTGCATGTTGCTGTGCATGTTGCTGTGCATGTTGCTGTGCATGTTGCGGTGCATGTTGCTGTGCATGTTGCTGTGCATGTTGCTGTGCATGTTGCTGTGCATGTTGCTGTGCATGTTACTGCATATGTTACTGCGTATGTTACCCCTTATCCCCACGGACCTTAATGAGCTCCTACCACAAGCAGGTCCAGAGTGCATGTTGGACGCTTCTCTTCTATCCACCCCCGCCCGCCTGCTGTTCGCCCCTCCTCACATGTCCAGAGTGCATGTTCGCCCCCCCTCACATCTACCCTCCACAATCCTTCACCACTCCACTGCCCCAACCAAATCCCCACTCACCTCAATGAGTCCCCATGACAGGTTGTAGAGGAATGCAGAGTACATGTTTGACGCCTTCTCCCCTGCCAGCCTGCTGCTCTTGCCCTCCTTTTGAGTCGACTCAAAAGTCACCCAGCCTGCTGCTCTTGCCCTCCTCCCCACTCACCTCCCCTCTCCACACACCCCCCACACCAGTCCACACACACACCTATCCCCACTCACCTCAATGAGTCCCCACGACAGGTTGTAGAGGAATGCAGAGTACATGTTGGACGCCTTTTCCCGGTAGTACACTGGCCGCTCCGCGTTCACCTGCGGGAAGAAGGGGGACAATGGGAGGGGGGGAGCATGGAGGGGATGTGTGTTAACTGTTAAGAGAGTGGCAATCCCTCTTCCACGTCTTGAGAGTACATGTTGGACGCCTTCTCCCGGTAGTACACTGGCCGCTCCGCGTTCACCTGAGAGTGTGTGAGAGCGAGTGAGTGAGTGATTGTGAGTGTGTGAGTGAGCATGTGAGTAAGTGTGTGAGTGCGTGTAGGGGAAAGTAGGGAGACGAAGGGGGAGGAGGAGCATCGGCGGAAGTGTGTTAGGGAGTGAAATTCCCACTTCCTCCTGTTCCAACTTAGCTAATAAACTGTATACACCTTTCCTCTCGGTCCGTCGCTACAGTCATAAGGCATGCTTTCTACGCGCTTCCTACTCACATGCTTCCACTCCCAAAACTCCCACTCCCATACTACCTCTCAACTGACTCTCCAGGGACACGGGCGCTACTACATAGCACTGATGACCTTTGACTCGCCTTGTGAGAATGACCTTTGACTCGCCTTGTGAGAATTTGCAAATTTCACGCACACACCTGTGGGATGACGTTGTTGGCGTTAACCACACGAGCCACATAGATGAGCTTTGAGACGTCTCAAACGTCTTTTCTGGTGGGATGGCAGCTTTGAAAATAAGTCTTATTGGTCACGCACGCACCTGTGGAATGACGTTGTTGGCGTTAACCACCGCCACGAACACGAGAGCCACATAGATGAGTTTCGAGATGACGCACGCACACACGCGTGCACGCACACACGCACGCACGCACACACACACCTGCGGGATGACGTTGTTGGCATTAACCACGGCCACGAACACGAGAGCCACATAGATGAGACCCTGGCGGGAGTAAAAGCCAGGCGTCGTGGTGTAGTTGATCTGCAGAGGGGGAGGGAAGAGATGCGGGAGGGGGGGGGGACGAAAAGGGGAAGTGAAGGGGAAGGCAAGGGAAGAGAGCCACGTAGATGAGACCCTGGCGGGAGTAAATGCCAGGCGTCGTGGTGTAGTTGATCTGCAGAGGGGGAGGGAGGGGGCGAGTGGGGGGGAAGGGAAGGGACACGGGAGAGGGGGGGAAGAGAAGGGGAAGAGAAGGGAAAGGAGAGCCACGTAGATGAGACCCTGGCGGGAGTAAAAGCCGGGCGTCGTGGTGTAGTTGATCTAAAGAGGGGAGCGGAGGGAGAAGGAGAGTGGGAGAAGAGAAGCGGAAGAAAAAAGGAGAGAGAAAGGGCGAGGCAAGGGGAGAGAGGTCAAGAGGCAAAAAGCATGCATGCATGTGCAGGTGTTGCTTTAAAGATTTAGTAAGAAGACTCCTCCTGATGGTACAGTTTCTGGAGTTGACTTTTGAGTCGACTCAAAAGTCGCATGTGCGAGGTGTTGCTTTAAAGATAATATGAGAACTTCTGGCGGTACAGTTTCTGAATATGATGCGCCCAAAGCCCTCCCAGGGCCTTCACACCACCTCCCTGCGCCGCACACTACAACCGCCCCCACCGCAATATCCCTCCCCTACCCCTCTCTTCTCCCTGCGCACACCCTCAACCACCTACCAGAATCACTAACGAGAATGAGCCCCAGGATGATGGGGAACATGATGCGCCCAAAGCTGCCAAGCTCCAAACAGACATTCCCTTCCGCTCCCCCCCTTCCCCCCTACCGTCCCCCCACCTTCCCTCACCCACCTGCCAGAAGGCGCTGCCGAGAATGAGGCCGAGGATGATGGAGAACATGAGATAGCGCCAAAAGCCCTCCCAGGGCCTTCACACCTCCCTGCGCCGCACACTACCGCTCCCACCCCATACCTCCCCTTCCTTCTCCCCACCTGCCAGAAGGCGCTGCCGAGAATGAGCCCCAGGATGATCCAGAGAATGATGCGCCCAAAGCCCTCCCATCCCATGGCTCTTCCCTGCCGCACATTACCGCCCCCACCCCAATACCTCCCCCCACTTCTCCCCGTGCCCACCCACCCACCTGCCAGAAGGCGCTGCCGAGAATGAGGCCGAGGATGATGGAGAACATGATGCGCCCAAAGCTGCCCTGCTCCAATCAGACCTACCTTCCTTTCCACATCACACCCTCCCCTTAACCCCCACCTTCCCCAACCCGCGCCCACCCACCCACCTGCCAGAAGGCGCTGCCGAGAATGAGGCCGAGGATGATGGAGAACACGATGAGCCCAAAGCCCTCTCAGAGCCGTCACACCTCCCTGCACCGCACATGACCATCCCCACCCTCGCCCGCCCACCTGCCAGAAGGCGCTGCCGAGAATGAGGCCGAGGATGATGGAGAACATGATGCGGCCAAAGCTGTAGGACACGTTGCGCCAGTACGTGCGGACCTGGCGCAGGAACACCACACGCGTCATCGTGCCCCACGACGCTGCATACCCCTTCACTGTGGGCTCTGGCCCGTACTCGCCCCTGCCGAACCGGATCGCGTCCAGTTGCTCCTCTGTCGGGGGGGAAAGGGGGGGATGGGGGGGACCGGGAATTGGGGGACAGGGTATGGTGAGGAAGACCACGCGCGTCATCGTGCCCCATGAGGCTGCATACCCCTTCACCGTGGGCTCTGGCCCGTACTCGCCCCTGCCGAACCGGATCGCATCTATGCTCCTCTGGAGGGGGGAAAAGGGGAAATGGGGGGGATGGGGAGGCCGGGGAATGGTGAGGAAGACCACGCGCGTCACGGTGCCAAACGTCGCTGCATACCCCTTTACTGTGGGCTCTGGCCCGTACTCGCCCCTGCCAAACCGGATCGCATCTAGTTGCTCCTCTGGAGGGGGGGAAGGGGGAAAAGCGGAAATGGGGGGGATGGGGAGGCCGGGGAATGGTGAGGAAGACCACGCGCGTCACGGTGCCAAACGTCGCTGCATACCCCTTCACTGTGGGCTCTGGCCCGTACTCGCCCCTGCCAAACCGGATCGCGTCCAGTTGCTCCTCTGGAAGGGGGAGCGGGATGGGGGAAATGGGTGGGGGGGCCGAGGGGATGGGGGGATGTGGGGATGTGGGGATGTGGGGATGTGGGGATGTGGGGATGTGGGGATGGGGGGATGTGGGGCAGAGAGGGAACCCACTGTGGGCTCTGGCCTGTACTCGCCCCTGCCAAAGTGGATGGCGTCTAGTTGCTCCTCTGGAGGGGGGAAGAGGGGAGGGGGGTGGGTGGGAAGGGGGAAGGGGGAGAAGGGGATGGGGGTGAGAAGGACCAGCGCAAACAACAAGCAAGGCGTACGTGGCAAGGGAGGAAGGAAGCAGAGGCGGAGACTTTTGAGGCGACTCAAAAGTCACCTCTTTTGAGTTGACTCACGGGTCACCTCGGACCAGCGCCAACAACAAGCATGGCGTGCGTGGCAAGGGAGGAAGGAAGCAGGGGTGGAGACTTTTGAGGCGACTCAAAAGTCACCTCTTTTGAGTTGACTCAAGGGTCACCTCGGACCAGCGCAAACAACAAGCAAGGCGTACGTGGCAAGGGAGGAAGGAAGCAGAGGCGGAGGCATGGAAGCGTGCATATAAGAGATGCGGATAGGAAGGTAGAAAGGATGAAAGGGAATCAGGAAGTGAGGAGGCTCGCAGGGAGAGAAGAGGGGAGGGAGGGAGGGGAGGGAGGGAGGGAGGAAGGAAGGGAGGGAGGGAGGGAGGGAGGGAGGGAGGGAGGGAGGGAGGGAGGGAGGGAGGGAGGGAGGGAGGGAGGGAGGGAGGGAGGGAGGGAGGGAGGAAGGGAGGGAGGAAGGAAGGGAGGAAGGGAGGAAGGAAGGGAGGAAAGGAGGAAAGGAGGAAAGGGAGGGAGGGAGGGAGGGAGGGCGGGAGGCAGGGAGCAGCAGCTCACGGTTGTCAGCAGCAAGCAAGCTTTCAGCGTAGTCGAGAGCAAAGTCACGCATGGCCGCGTGACCGATGCCCGCCCCTATCATCTCCAACATATCTGCATGGCAGCATGGCAGCATGGCAGCATGGCAGCATGGCAGCATGATCAGTGGAGGAACGCGGGGGATGATTGTCCAGCACGGTACCATGGTTATGGGGAGAAACGAGGGGAGGGGAGGGGAAAACAAGTGCGGAAGAAAGGAGGCTTTGAAAGAAGGAGTTTCTATCTGTTAGAGTCAAAACCAGAGCGGGCACAATTGTTAAAGCGCGGTGTATAGTGCGGAGGGACGAGCATGCATAGTGAGGAGGGACGAGCATGCATAGTGAGGAGGGACGAGCATGCATAGTGAGGAGGGACGAGCATGCATAGTGAGGAGGGACGAGCATGCATAGTGAGGAGGGACGAGCATGCATAGTGAGGAGGGACGAGCATGCATAGTGAGGAGGGACGAGCATGCATAGTGAGGAGGGACGAGCATGCATAGTGAGGAGGGACGAGCATGCATAGTGAGGAGGGACGAGCATGCATAGTGAGGAGGGACGAGCATGCATAGTGAGGAGGGACGAGCATGCATAGTGAGGAGGGACGAGCATGCATAGTGAGGAGGGACGAGCATGCATAGTGAGGAGGGACGAGCATGCATAGTGAGGAGGGACGAGCATGCATAGTGAGGAGGGACGAGCATGCATAGTGAGGAGGGACGAGCATGCATAGTGAGGAGGGACGAGCATGCATAGTGAGGAGGGACGAGCATGCATAGTGAGGAGGGACGAGCATGCATAGTGAGGAGGGACGAGCATGCATAGTGAGGAGGGACGAGCATGCATAGTGAGGAGGGACGAGCATGCATAGTGAGGAGGGACGAGCATGCATAGTGAGGAGGGACGAGCATGCATAGTGAGGAGGGACGAGCATGCATAGTGAGGAGGGACGAGCATGCATAGTGAGGAGGGACGAGCATGCATAGTGAGGAGGGACGAGCATGCATAGTGAGGAGGGACGAGCATGCATAGTGAGGAGGGACGAGCATGCATAGTGAGGAGGGACGAGCATGCATAGTGAGGAGGGACGAGCATGCATAGTGAGGAGGGACGAGCATGCATAGTGAGGAGGGACGAGCATGCATAGTGAGGAGGGACGAGCATGCATAGTGAGGAGGGACGAGCATGCATAGTGAGGAGGGACGAGCATGCATAGTGAGGAGGGACGAGCATGCATAGTGAGGAGGGACGAGCATGCATAGTGAGGAGGGACGAGCATGCATAGTGAGGAGGGACGAGCATGCATAGTGCGGAGGGACGAGCATGCATAGTGAGGAGGGACGAGCATGCATAGTGAGGAGGGACGAGCATGCATAGTGCGGAGGGACGAGCATGCATAGTGAGGAGGGACGAGCATGCATAGTGAGGAGGGACGAGCATGCATAGTGAGGAGGGACGAGCATGCATAGTGAGGAGGGACGAGCATGCATAGTGCGGAGGGACGAGCATGCATAGTGAGGAGGGACGAGCATGCATAGTGAGGAGGGACGAGCATGCATAGTGCGGAGGGACGAGCATGCATAGTGAGGAGGGACGAGCATGCATAGTGAGGAGGGACGAGCATGCATAGTGAGGAGGGACGAGCATGCATAGTGCGGAGGGACGAGCATGCATAGTGCGGAGGGACGAGCATGCATAGTGCGGAGGGACGAGCATGCATAGTGAGGAGGGACGAGCATGCATAGTGAGGAGGGACGAGCATGCATAGTGAGGAGGGACGAGCATGCATAGTGAGGAGGGACGAGCATGCATAGTGAGGAGGGACGAGCATGCATAGTGAGGAGGGACGAGCATGCATAGTGAGGAGGGACGAGCATGCATAGTGAGGAGGGACGAGCATGCATAGTGAGGAGGGACGAGCATGCATAGTGAGGAGGGACGAGCATGCATAGTGCGGAGGGACGAGCATGCATAGTGAGGAGGGACGAGCATGCATAGTGAGGAGGGACGAGCATGCATAGTGAGGAGGGACGAGCATGCATAGTGAGGAGGGACGAGCATGCATAGTGAGGAGGGACGAGCATGCATAGTGAGGAGGGACGAGCATGCATAGTGAGGAGGGACGAGCATGCATAGTGAGGAGGGACGAGCATGCATAGTGAGGAGGGACGAGCATGCATAGTGAGGAGGGACGAGCATGCATAGTGAGGAGGGACGAGCATGCATAGTGAGGAGGGACGAGCATGCATAGTGAGGAGGGACGAGCATGCATAGTGAGGAGGGACGAGCATGCATAGTGAGGAGGGACGAGCATGCATAGTGAGGAGGGACGAGCATGCATAGTGAGGAGGGACGAGCATGCATAGTGAGGAGGGACGAGCATGCATAGTGAGGAGGGACGAGCATGCATAGTGAGGAGGGACGAGCATGCATAGTGAGGAGGGACGAGCATGCATAGTGAGGAGGGACGAGCATGCATAGTGAGGAGGGACGAGCATGCATAGTGAGGAGGGACGAGCATGCATAGTGAGGAGGGACGAGCATGCATAGTGAGGAGGGACGAGCATGCATAGTGAGGAGGGACGAGCATGCATAGTGAGGAGGGACGAGCATGCATAGTGAGGAGGGACGAGCATGCATAGTGAGGAGGGACGAGCATGCTATAGTGAGGAGGGACGAGCATGCATAGTGAGGAGGGACGAGCATGCATAGTGAGGAGGGACGAGCATGCATAGTGAGGAGGGACGAGCATGCATAGTGAGGAGGGACGAGCATGCATAGTGAGGAGGGACGAGCATGCATAGTGAGGAGGGACGAGCATGCATAGTGAGGAGTGACGAGCATGCATAGTGAGGAGTGACGAGCATGCATAGTGAGGAGGGAGGGGCATGCATAGCGGCGAGGGGGGGGCACTGACAGGTGGCAGGGTTCTGGTCATCTCGGCACTTGGGCAGCCCTGGTAGAGACTCAAAGTAGTTCTGTGGAGCGAGGGGCATGGGGGAGGCAGCAGAGAGTGAGGGAAAGTTTTGAGACGTCTCAAAACTAGGGCACTTGGGCAGCCCTGGCAGAGACTCAAAGTAGTTCTGTGGAGCGAGAGGGGCATGGGGGTGGAGCAGAGGGTGAGGGAAAGTAAAAGGGGGCGGGAGAAGGAGACGAGAGAGGGGGTTGTGGGGAGGGGATATTGGGGAACGAGGGGGCGAGAGAAAGCGAGTTGAAATGAGCAAGTGAAAGACAGTGGAGTGCAATGAGAAGCGAAACAAAACAATGAAGACGCCGTTGCACTTGATGCCCTGTGCAACTTCCACTGTCCAAGGCAAGAGGAACCGCAATGCAACCCATCAGCACCGCATGGAACCCACCAGGAGGTCGCAGCCGTTGTGGCCGATGGGGCCGAAGTAAACCACCTCGCCCCCGCGCTTCATAAGGTCAAATGCAAAGAAGAGGCGCCGGCTTTTGAGGCGCCTAAAATATTGTGTGTAGACGCCTTTTGAACCGTCTCACAAAGTCAACAACCCACCAGAAGGTCGCAGCCGTTGTGGCCGATGGGGCCGAAGTAGACCACCTCGCCCCCGCGCTTCATGAGGTACAGCCAGTCAAACGCAAAGAAGAGCCGCCGGCTTTTGAGGCGCCTCACAAGTCAACAACCCACCAGGAGGTCGCATCCGTTGTGGCCGATGGGGCCGAAGTAAACCACCTCGCCCCCGCGCTTCATGAGGTACAGCCAGTCAAACGCAAAGAAGAGCCGGCGGCTCGGCTGGTGGATGGTGCAGATCGTGCTGCACGAGGGGTGGAGTGCGGAGGGGTGGCGTGGGGGAGGGAACGGGGTGTGGGTTACTGAGGTGGCGTGTGGGAGGAACAGTGTGGGGGTTTGCCTTGTCCAGGTTGTGGGGAAAAAACGCAGGTTTGGAGTCGACTGGTGTTTGAGACGTCCCAAAACCGGACTCCCATGCCCCCGTCCTCCCCTCCTTCCCCCCGTCCCTTCCTCCTTTTCCCCCTCCCCCCAACTCCCCCTCACCTCCTGCCAGTGGCAGCAATGTTCCTGATACCCCGAACGACAATGTCAGCAGCGCGGCTGTCCAGCCCGCTGGTGGGTTCATCCAGGAACAGCACGCTGGGGTTCGCCACCAGCTCCACGCCTATCGTCAGCCGCTTCGCCTGCTCCACAGACAGCCCGTTGATGCCTATGAATCCCACTAGGGTGTCCGCTATGTCGTGCAGCTCTAGCAGGTCCATGGCCTGGGATTTGACAGAGGAAGGAGAAGGAAAAGAAGGGCGGAGGGGAGAGGGGCTGGGTTAGCTGAAGCCTGCTCCACTGACAGCCCGCTGATGCCGATGAATCCCACCAGGGTGTCCGCTATGTCATGCAGCTCTAGCAGGTCCATGGCCTGGACAGGGGGGCACGGGAGGGAAGGGAAAGGAGGGAGGATGGGGTTCGCCACCAGCTCCACCCCTATCGTCAGCCGCTTCGCCTGCTCCAAGGACAGCCCGTTGATGCCTATGAATCCGACTATTGTGTCCGCTATGTCGTGCAGCACAGAAATGAAGTGAATCAAAACACATGGTACCCTCACCTCCTGAACCACCAGCGCCCTTTCGGCGCGCGAGGTGGTGGCGGGCAGGCGGAGCGCAGCACTGAACTGCAGCGACTCAACTCAACACAGATGGTGGAGCAGCGCCATCAGCTTAAGACCTGCCTAAGTAACCACACGCACGCACCTCCTGCACCACCAGTGCCCTTTCAGCGCGCGAGGTGGTGGCGGGCAGGCGGAGAGAAGCACTGAACTGCAGCGACTCGCGGATGGTGATGAAAGGCGTGTGGATGTCACTCTGCTCCACGTAGCTGGGTGATGGGGGCGGGGGGAGGGAAGATGGAAAGGGGGGGAAAGGAAAGGGAAGGAAGGGGTGTGAGGAAGGAAAACTGGCGAGCATGGATGGTGGTGAAGGGCGTGTGGAGGTCGCTCTGCTCCACGTAGCTGGCATGAAGGGGGAGAGAGGAGGGGAGGTTGGGGTGAGGGGAAGGGGACGAGCCATGCATGGGAAGGGGTGTGAGGAATAGGGAATGGCGAGCATGGATGGTGGTGAATGGCGTGTGGTGTGGAGGTCGCTTTGCTCCACGTAACTGGGTGAAGGAGAGGTGGGTGGCGTGTGAGGAACGAGAAGGGCAAGGAGAAGCGGCGCTACGCTACGGAACGGAGCAGAGCAGAGGCTACGAATCGTGCAGAAGATGCTTCGTGGCTCAATGCAACAAGGCACTAGGAACGGGGATTGCTTTGCATCCCCAAAATGAGTTTTTATTCCCCTCCTCTGGAAAACTCTTTCTGGGGATGCAAAAGCAATCGCCCTTCTTCCTGGTGCCTTGCATGATGTGGTTCAAATCTCCTCGATCCGATGTGGCTACGACTACTAGTATGCGCCCCTTCATGCTCCTCTGCATCGACTCAAAGGGGGAGCAACAGTGCCAGTACCTACCCGGAGATGCGGGCGAACGTGTCTTGCACTTTGGGGATGGAGTTGACGAGAATGTCGCCTCCCCTCGCGTGCGCCCCTGCATTATCTTCTGAATCAACTAAAAAAGGGGAGCAGCAGCAGTACCGAGTACCTACCCGGAGATGCGCGCAAACGTGTCCTGCACTTTGGGGAAGGAGTTGACGAGAATGTCGCCTCTAGTGCGCCCGATGGTCTTGCGCCCTGCCAGCACGTCCAACAGGGTTGTCTTGCCCGCACCTGGAGAAGGAAGTGGGGTTGGGGACAAGGAACAAGGCGAGCAGGGGAGGCAGAATGAGGAGGTCGCCTCTGATGCGCCCGATGGTCTTGCGCCCTGCCAGCACGTCCAACAGGGTCGTCTTGCCCGCTCCTGCACACATGGGGAGCGGGTGGGGGGGAGAGGAAGGGAGTGGGGGGAGCGGGTGGGGGGGAGAGGAGGGGAGTGGGGGGAGCGGGTGGGGGGGAGAGGAGGGGAGTGGGGGGGGGTGGGGAGGATAGGAAACAAGGCGAGTAGGAGAGGCAGAATGAGAAGGGAAGATCCCCTCTGATGCGCCCGATGGTCTTGCGCCCTGCCAGCACGTCCAATAGGGTCGTCTTGCCCGCACCTGCACACATGGGGGAGAGGAGAGGAACGAGGAGATGCGTACGAGAGGATTCTCGGGTTTGTCAAACGTATCCAAGTCCAGAAGCATCGACTTGCAGGGAGTTTTTTAGAATTCTCAAAAACTCCCTGATTTGTCAGAAGTATCCAAGTCCAGAAGCATCGACTTGTGACTTTTGGGAGGCATACGAGCAATGGCGGAGGAAGGGGAGGGGATGGGGGCGAGAGCTAGGGAGGGAGGGCGTTGAAAGAACGACGCATGGAGGAAGCGGAGGGAAAATGACTGTAACGAAGCGAGGGGCGTGTAAGGAAGGAGGAGGAGCAAGCAGGGGGGAAGCAGAGGGTGAGAGAGCGAGTGGGTGGGAGGGGAGAAAGAGGGTGGGGAGACGAGGGGAGGAAGAAGGAAGCAGTAGGCGAGAAAAGGGGAGCGAGAGTAGGAATGGAGGAAGCCAGAGATAAGGTTTCAGGAGGAGTGGGGACGGAAGAGAGATGAAGAGAATACCAGAGGAGCCCATGAGAGTGCGTACCAGAGGAGCCCATGAGCGCAGTCATGGTGCCGGGGCAAACAAAGCCAGAGATGCTGTTGAGCAGCACCTTGGGCTCGCTCATGCCTGGCACGTCCACCTGGTGGGGGGAAGGGAATGGGTGGGGGTTGTGTGGGGGGGTGCGTGGAGGGTGCGTGGGATGGAATGTGATTTAATGGAAGCAAAGCACCTTGGGCTCGCTCATGCCTGGCACGTCCACCTGGTGGGGGGAAGGGAATGGGTGGGGGTTGGACGGAAGAGGGGGGTGAGTAGGGGAGTGAGTGGAGCGAGATGTGATGCGATGGAAGCAGCAGGATCAGCAGCAGCAGCAGCAGCAGCAGCAGCAGCAGCAGCAGCAGCAGCACTCGCACCTCATAGAGCAGATCGTGAAAGGAAAGAGTGGTGGGGGTGAACTGCACTCGAGACTGAGGGGCCGCCTTGCTCCCTCCATCCTCCTCTGCACCATCCTCAACACGACTGCCATCAGCAGCACCAGCACCAGCACCAGCACCAGCACCAGCAGCAGCAGCACCAGCAGCACCAGCACCATCCCTCTCGATCATTGCCTGTGCTTCCTCCGCCTCTCCCTCCCCACTCCCCTCCTCCTCCCCCCCCTTGCCCGCCTCCCCCTCTGCAGACATCTGCTTCTTTACCGCCCGGACAGCCTTCTGGAACACGTTCTTCTGGGGCGGCAGGGGCGGCAGGCGGCTGGCAGGCGGCGTCTTATTCTCGTTGAAGCGAATGCGGGAAGCAGCGAGGAAGGTGAGGGAGATGAAGAGCGCAGTGAAGCCTATGAGGGCTGCAAAGGAGAACCAGACAGCTCCAAAGGAAGAAGGCATGCCGAAGAACTGAAGGAAGGCCTCTCCTGCTGTTGTGCCTGCAGGCTTGTTGATGCAGAAAGATGCGGTGGTGGTGTTGACTGTGCTGCAGAGCTGAGAGGTGCGGAAGAGGGAGTGTGAGAGAGAGGGAGTGTGGGAGAGACGGAGTGTCAGTGAGAGAGGTTGTGAGCTAGAGGGGGTGTGAGCGGGAGGGAGTGTGACGGAGAGGGAGTGTGAGTGAGAGGGAGTGTGAGCGAGAGGGAGTGTGAGGGAGAGGAAGAGAACCCACTGAAAGGGCCCTTACAGAGAAAGGTGAAAGGTGGGCGATATAGATGCCAAGCCTTTACAGTGAAACCAGACGAGCCGTCGTACCATGCCATACACCACCATGCCATACACCACCATGCCATACACCACCATGCCATACACCACCATGCCATACACCACCATGCCATACACCACCATGCACCACAGAGACCCCACACTGCAAGCTACTCCCCACATCCCACATCCCACTCCAAAACCAGTGGCCGCGGAGAGACGTTGTTGTAAGAGCCGGAGAGGAACTCGTTGATGCAGATGGCAGTGGCTCTGTACTGCAGCGAAACACCGGGTCTGGTCACAAGCCACACCTCCTCCCACACACCACATCACATGCTACACACACACTGTGACACACAGCACTACTGCACCACTGCACTCTCTACGGCGGACAGAGCACGGGCGCGCGCACGGACCTCGTTGTAAGAGGCGACTTTTGAGGCGCCTCAAGACCAGCAGGCACGCACGGACCTCGTTGTAAGAGCCGGAGAGGAACTCGTTGATGCAGATGGCCGTGACTCCGTACTGCAGCGGGTTGATGTAATACATCCAGATCCACCAGGGGGGGATGTTGGGCTTCGTGAGCAGGAAGCCCGTGAAGAGCAGGAAGGTGATGACCATGAGACCTGAGGACGGGAAGAGGAGGAGGGGGGACGGGGGAGAGGGGTCTTAATAACCGTACTGCAGCGGCTTGATGTAATACATCCAGATCCACCAGGGCGGGATGTTGGGCTTCGTGAGCAGGAAGCCCGTGAAGAGCAGGAAGGTGATGACCATGAGACCTGAGGAGGGGGGGGACAGGGGATGGGGAGAGGGGTTGTTTGTGTTGAGGCGTCTCAAAAGCCGTACTGCAGAGGGTTGATGTAATACATCCAGATCCACCAGGGCGGGATGTTGGGCTTGGTGAGCAGCAGGAAGCCCGTGATCACCATCAGCCCTAGGACGGGTTTGAGAGGGGGGGACGGCCGGGAGGGTTCGAGACGTGTCAAAACCCGTGTGTACTGCAGCGGGTTGAAGTATTACATCCATATCCACCAGGGGGGGGTGAGGTGACTTTCGAGTCGACTCAAAAGTCACCTCGTCAGCAAGGGGAGATGTTGAGCTTTGTGAGAAGAAAGCCCGTGGAGAGTAGGAAGGTCATCACCATCAGATCTGAGACAGGAGGGGGCACGGAGACAGGAAGCTCACGGAGACAGGAAGCTCACAGATGCAAGGTTATCAACACACCACCAGATGTGTTTACTTATCGTGCCCCATGTCATGACATGACATGTCTGGTGTTTACTTATCATGCCCCATGCCCCATATCATGTCATATCTCCCCTGCAATGCCATCTCGAGTGACACGCCCATGGAGGCGATGGCCCGATAAGGCGGATGAGAGTACCGCCCATGAGTATTCCCTTCCCTTTATCATCTCCTCCCTTCCCTATACCCTGTACCCTGTACCCTGTACCTGCAAGGCTGGACGCCACCTCTCGTGAAGAGCTGATGGAGGCGATGGGGCGGATGAGAGTGGCGCCCATGACGTCCACTGCTGCTGCCAGAGGGTGAATTCACTCTCTACCCTGTACCGCACCGTACCGTACCATACTGTACCGTACTGTCCCGTACCTGCAAGGCTGGAGGCCATCTCGCGTGACGAGCTGATGGAGGCGATGAGGCGGATGAGCGTGGCGCCCATGACGTCGACTGCGAGCAGCAGCAGCATGAAGAGGAAGAAGTGCGCTCCGTTGTCCGCCGCACTCATGCCCGTCAGCCAGTACACGAGTGGTCCGTATATCAGCACCTAAGGGCAGGGAGAGAGGGAAGGGCGGGGAGAAGTGAAAGGAGGAACAAGGAGACAGTTTGTATGGTGGTCAAGGAGTATTGATATTAGGGCAAGGAGGGAGGTGGTGGAGGGGCCACGGGAGGGGTGATTGAAATCAATGTTGAGAATTCTAAAAAATGGGTAATGGATTAACACACACACCTGAGGGCAGGGAGGGAGGGGAGAGAAGCGGAAAGAGGGGCAAGGAACGAATGGAGGGGCGAGAAGCAAAAGGAGGGGAGAAGAGAGAGATACACAGTCAACTAGAGCCTCCATTTGAGTGACTGGATGGGTAACTTGAGCGTAGACTTCTGTCAACTCAAAAGTCAGCTCGTTACACAGTCAACTAGAGCCTCCCTTTGAGTGACTGCATGGGTCACTTGAGCGTAGCAGTGAGAACCAAACACTCCTCGCTCTCACACCCCTTCCCCTGCCCCTCCACCATCCCCATCCCGTCCCTCTTTCGTCGTGCTTCCGCCCTCGCTAATCCCCTCCACCCTCTTCGTCCCGTCTCTCCGCTCACCTCAGCGAGCGAGAAGGGGAAGTTGCAGATGGTACTAGCGATGACGTAGGACGTGGAGCGGTAGAACCTCGCCCCCAGGTGCTTCTCAACCACCTGCCGCTCGTCTATGAAGTTCGGGATGAGCGCAAAGCCCCCCTCGTTCCACAACCCTCTCCCCCCATCCCTCCCAAGTTCCCCCTATTGTCCCTTCTCCCCTCACCTCAGCCAGCCACAAGAAAAGGGAAGCTTGCTGGCTCCAGTCAATCCAACTCAAACCCCCCTGCTCCCTGCGTCTCCCGTCCCTGCGCTCACCTCAGCGAGCGAGAAGGGGAAGTTGCAGATGGTACTGGCAATGACGTAGGACGTGGAGTGGTAGAACCTCGCCCCCAGCTGCTTCTCCACCACCTGCCGCTCGCCCATGAGGTTTGGGGGAATGGGCCGTGTGGATGAGAGCAAAGGTCAAAACTCAATAAACGGAATAGCAGCAATTCCTCAAGGGAACGCTCGGGGCAGCTTAAGGAACGAGAAAAAAAAAAAAAAAAAAAAAAAAAAACTCAACTAAACTAAACTAAACTACCTTTAAATATAAGAAGTTCAATGACTCTCAACCCACCTGCCGCTCGTCTATGATGTTGGGGATGAGTGCAAAGCCGCCCAGTGCGAGGGCCATGGTGGCAGCAAAGGCGATGGAGAGGCGCAGCTGCATGGTGGCCGTGGAGACGGTGTTGGGGATCTGGAAGAAGACCGTTCCTGTGAATATGCCCAGGATGAGCACCTGCGGAGAGGGGAGGGATAGGGGGACCGGGGGCAGAAGGAGGGGGGAGTGGACAGGGTTTAGGATGGGGCAAGAGAGTGAGGCAGCTGCATGGTGGCCGTGGTGACGGTGTTGGGGATTTGAAAGAATACAGTTCCCGTGAATATGCCCAGGATGAGCACCTGAGGGTATGGGGGAGAGGGGATGGGGGAAGTTGGGGTTAGGAAAGGAAGGGGAGGATGGGCAACCGGGTGTGAGGTGTGGAGAGAGCATGGGGCAGGAGAGTGAGTGAGTGAGAGGCGGATATACTGACCTGCATGCCGCGTGCGATGAGGAAGGAGGTGTTGCGGATGGCGACCTTGAACTGCCGCCCCACCACCAGCTTCGTGCTGGGCCACCAGGGGATGGCATACTCCTGCTCAAACTTGGCGTGCGACGGCTCCTCCTCCTGTGAGAGATGAGGAGACAGGGGAAGGTGGGAATGTGAGGGAGATGGGAAAACAGGTGGAGTGGACTGCTGGTCCACCAGGGAATGGCGTACTCCTGCTCAAACTTGGCGTGCGACGGCTCCTCCTCCTGTGGATGGGGGAAGATGTGGGAGATGAGGAGACAGGGGAAGATGGAATGGTCAGTGCTGGGCCGCCAGGGGATGGCGTACTCCCGTGTGGGAGATAAGAAGCGGAAGACGGGGAACGTGAGGGGGATGGGGGGAAAGGTGGAGAGGACAGTGCTGGACCCACCAAGAAAAGCTGTACAGACCCCTCCAACCGCATCCCACCCACCTGCACCAACGGTCGCTCCAGCTGCAGCCGCACAGCACCCCCTCCATCCCCTTCCCCCTCCCCCTCCTTCCCGCCTCCGCCCTTCCCACTCGCCGCAACCAACAACTTCTTCTGCAGCTCCCCCGCACTCACCAATCCCTCCTGCTCCCCACCCTCCGCTCCTCCCTCCTCCCCTCCTCCTCCGCCCCCCCCTGGCTTAGCATACTGCATGATCCCTCCGGGGAGGGCCAGGCCTGTGACAGAGTCCCCTGGTTGCACGGTATCAGTGCAGTTGATGTCTGGGCGCGCGAGGTGGGAGTGCGGTGCCACGCTGGCCACCACAACTGCGGATGGGGAAAGGGGAAGGAGGGATGGGAGGGAAGCTGGTGATGGGAGGGGGCCAGGCCTGTGACGGAGTCCCCTGGTTGCACGGTATCAGTGCAGTTGATGTCTGGGCGCGCGAGATGGGAGTGGGTTGCCACGCTCGCGACCACAACTGCGGATGGTGAAGTGGATGAGGGGGAGGGGGAGGGATGGGAGAGGGGAGGGGTGGGAGAGAGGAGGGATGGGGAAGGAAGTGGATGAGGGAGGAGGGATGGGGAAGGAAGTGGATGAGGGAGGAGGGATGGGGAAGGAAGTGGATGAGGGAGGAGGGATGGGGAAGGAAGTGGATGAGGGAGGAGGGATGGGGAAGGAAGTGGATGAGGGAGGAGGGATGGGGAAGGAAGTGGATGAGGGAGGAGGGATGGGGAAGGAAGTGGATGAGGGAGGAGGGATGGGGAAGGAAGTGGATGAGGGAGGAGGGATGGGGAAGGAAGTGGATGAGGGAGGAGGGATGGGGAAGGAAGTGGATGAGGGAGGAGGGATGGGGAAGGAAGTGGATGAGGGAGGAGGGATGGGGAAGGAAGTGGATGAGGGAGGAGGGATGGGGAAGGAAGTGGATGAGGGAGGAGGGATGGGGAAGGAAGTGGATGAGGGAGGAGGGATGGGGAAGGAAGTGGATGAGGGAGGAGGGATGGGGAAGGAAGTGGATGAGGGAGGAGGGATGGGGAAGGAAGTGGATGAGGGAGGAGGGATGGGGAAGGAAGTGGATGAGGGAGGAGGGATGGGGAAGGAAGTGGATGAGGGAGGAGGGATGGGGAAGGAAGTGGATGAGGGAGGAGGGATGGGGAAGGAAGTGGATGAGGGAGGAGGGATGGGGAAGGAAGTGGATGAGGGAGGAGGGATGGGGAAGGAAGTGGATGAGGGAGGAGGGATGGGAAGGAAGTGGATGAGGGAGGAGGGATGGGGAAGGAAGTGGATGAGGGAGGAGGGATGGGGAAGGAAGTGGATGAGGGAGGAGGGATGGGGAAGGAAGTGGATGAGGGAGGAGGGATGGGGAAGGAAGTGGATGAGGGAGGAGGGATGGGGAAGGAAGTGGATGAGGGAGGAGGGATGGGGAAGGAAGTGGATGAGGGAGGAGGGATGGGGAAGGAAGTGGATGAGGGAGGAGGGATGGGGAAGGAAGTGGATGAGGGAGGAGGGATGGGGAAGGAAGTGGATGAGGGAGGAGGGATGGGGAAGGAAGTGGATGAGGGAGGAGGGATGGGGAAGGAAGTGGATGAGGGAGGAGGGATGGGGAAGGAAGTGGATGAGGGAGGAGGGATGGGGAAGGAAGTGGATGAGGGAGGAGGGATGGGGAAGGAAGTGGATGAGGGAGGAGGGATGGGGAAGGAAGTGGATGAGGGAGGAGGGATGGGGAAGGAAGTGGATGAGGGAGGAGGGATGGGGAAGGAAGTGGATGAGGGAGGAGGGATGGGGAAGGAAGTGGATGAGGGAGGAGGGATGGGGAAGGAAGTGGATGAGGGAGGAGGGATGGGGAAGGAAGTGGATGAGGGAGGAGGGATGGGGAAGGAAGTGGATGAGGGAGGAGGGATGGGGAAGGAAGTGGATGAGGGAGGAGGGATGGGGAAGGAAGTGGATGAGGGAGGAGGGATGGGGAAGGAAGTGGATGAGGGAGGAGGGATGGGGAAGGAAGTGGATGAGGGAGGAGGGATGGGGAAGGAAGTGGATGAGGGAGGAGGGATGGGGAAGGAAGTGGATGAGGGAGGAGGGATGGGGAAGGAAGTGGATGAGGGAGGAGGGATGGGGAAGGAAGTGGATGAGGGAGGAGGGATGGGGAAGGAAGTGGATGAGGGAGGAGGGATGGGGAAGGAAGTGGATGAGGGAGGAGGGATGGGGAAGGAAGTGGATGAGGGAGGAGGGATGGGGAAGGAAGTGGATGAGGGAGGAGGGATGGGGAAGGAAGTGGATGAGGGAGGAGGGATGGGGAAGGAAGTGGATGAGGGAGGAGGGATGGGGAAGGAAGTGGATGAGGGAGGAGGGATGGGGAAGGAAGTGGATGAGGGAGGAGGGATGGGGAAGGAAGTGGATGAGGGAGGAGGGATGGGGAAGGAAGTGGATGAGGGAGGAGGGATGGGGAAGGAAGTGGATGAGGGAGGAGGGATGGGGAAGGAAGTGGATGAGGGAGGAGGGATGGGGAAGGAAGTGGATGAGGGAGGAGGGATGGGGAAGGAAGTGGATGAGGGAGGAGGGATGGGGACGGAAGTGGATGAGGGAGGAGGGATGGGGACGGAAGTGGATGAGGGAGGAGGGATGGGGAAGGAAGTGGATGAGGGAGGAGGGATGGGGAAGGAAGTGGATGAGGGAGGAGGGATGGGGAAGGAAGTGGATGAGGGAGGAGGGATGGGGAAGGAAGTGGATGAGGGAGGAGGGATGGGGAAGGAAGTGGATGAGGGAGGAGGGATGGGGAAGGAAGTGGATGAGGGAGGAGGGATGGGGAAGGAAGTGGATGAGGGAGGAGGGATGGGGAAGGAAGTGGATGAGGGAGGAGGGATGGGGAAGGAAGTGGATGAGGGAGGAGGGATGGGGAAGGAAGTGGATGAGGGAGGAGGGATGGGGAAGGAAGTGGATGAGGGAGGAGGGATGGGGAAGGAAGTGGATGAGGGAGGAGGGATGGGGAAGGAAGTGGATGAGGGAGGAGGGATGGGGAAGGAAGTGGATGAGGGAGGAGGGATGGGGAAGGAAGTGGATGAGGGAGGAGGGATGGGGAAGGAAGTGGATGAGGGAGGAGGGATGGGGAAGGAAGTGGATGAGGGAGGAGGGATGGGGAAGGAAGTGGATGAGGGAGGAGGGATGGGGAAGGAAGTGGATGAGGGAGGAGGGATGGGGAAGGAAGTGGATGAGGGAGGAGGGATGGGGAAGGAAGTGGATGAGGGAGGAGGGATGGGGAAGGAAGTGGATGAGGGAGGAGGGATGGGGAAGGAAGTGGATGAGGGAGGAGGGATGGGGAAGGAAGTGGATGAGGGAGGAGGGATGGGGAAGGAAGTGGATGAGGGAGGAGGGATGGGGAAGGAAGTGGATGAGGGGAGGATGGAGAGGATGGGGGAGGATGGGAAGAGTGGATGAGGGAGGAGGGATGGGGAAGGAAGTGGATGAGGGAGGAGGGATGGGGAAGGAAGTGGATGAGGGAGGAGGGATGGGGAAGGAAGTGGATGAGGGAGGAGGGATGGGGAAGGAAGTGGATGAGGGAGGAGGGATGGGGAAGGAAGTGGATGAGGGAGGAGGGATGGGGAAGGAAGTGGATGAGGGAGGAGGGATGGGGAAGGAAGTGGATGAGGGAGGAGGGATGGGGAAGGAAGTGGATGAGGGAGGAGGGATGGGGAAGGAAGTGGATGAGGGAGGAGGGATGGGGAAGGAAGTGGATGAGGGAGGAGGGATGGGGAAGGAAGTGGATGAGGGAGGAGGGATGGGGAAGGAAGTGGATGAGGGAGGAGGGATGGGGAAGGAAGTGGATGAGGGAGGAGGGATGGGGAAGGAAGTGGATGAGGGAGGAGGGATGGGGAAGGAAGTGGATGAGGGAGGAGGGATGGGGAAGGAAGTGGATGAGGGAGGAGGGATGGGGAAGGAAGTGGATGAGGGAGGAGGGATGGGGAAGGAAGTGGATGAGGGAGGAGGGATGGGGAAGGAAGTGGATGAGGGAGGAGGGATGGGGAAGGAAGTGGATGAGGGAGGAGGGATGGGGAAGGAAGTGGATGAGGGAGGAGGGATGGGGAAGGAAGTGAAGTGGATGAGGGAGGAGGGATGGGGAAGGAAGTGGATGAGGGAGGAGGGATGGGGAAGGAAGTGGATGAGGGAGGAGGGATGGGGAAGGAAGTGGATGAGGGAGGAGGGATGGGGAAGGAAGTGGATGAGGGAGGAGGGATGGGGAAGGAAGTGGATGAGGGAGGAGGGATGGGGAAGGAAGTGGATGAGGGAGGAGGGATGGGGAAGGAAGTGGATGAGGGAGGAGGGATGGGGAAGGAAGTGGATGAGGGAGGAGGGATGGGGAAGGAAGTGGATGAGGGAGGAAGTCGACTCAAAAATCGAAACAAAGTGAAGTTGGGGAAAGAGAAGCGGTGAGGACTCAAAAATCGACTCATCTCACAGGGAGGAGGAGGCACACATGAGAGGAAGGGGCACAAAGATTCAACGAGACAGACACATATGAAACAGCCCAGTCATCATCACAGGTTGAAGTGAGTGCGTAACGGGCATGCATGACGGCCTGTACTGTACCTGAGTCCCCTGACACGGAGAAGGTCAGGTCGATAGGCGGCTGCACCTCCACCCACACGGACTTGCACACCTGGTGTGTGTGTGTAGCATGGGGGATGGGGGAGGGCATGGGTGGGGGAGGGCATGGGTGGTGGCGGAGGGCATGGGTGGGGGAGGGCATGGGTGGTGGCGGAGGGCATGGGTGCATTGGTTGGTGTGGCATGGCATGGGATGGAGAACAGAACAGCTGAAGCATGGCCCAATGCTTGTAGAGCGTCATGTACCTTATCTGAGTTGCCGATGCACGCATACATATGAACTACACTTTTGAGTCGACTCAAAAATCAACTCATATCTGAGTTGCTGATGCACACACACGTATATAGAACACCACACAGTGGCCTTGCATACACGTGCTATGTGGTTATGCGTATCCAGCAGCACACACCCACACCCCCACCCATCCCATACCCATACCCACACCCACCCACACCCAACCCATCACCTTCTCCCCCTGCACCACGCGCATCACATCCCTGTGAGACGCCAAGTTGCGGTAAGCTTGGGGTGGACGCAAAGCACAGACCAAACATACGCACTGCCCACATGCATGTATCCACACCCAACCATCCACACCCCCACTCTCCCCTTCACCTTCTCCCCCTGCACCACGCGCATCACGTCTCTGTAGTGCGATGCTTTGCTGCGTGTTCTCGTAGGCACAAGCACAATCCAAAACACACAACCCAACCCAACCCACACCCACCCACCACAGCCTCACTTTCTCACCTTCTCCCCCTGCACCACGCGCATCACATCCCCATAGTGCGCCGCGCTATGGTATGCCTCCACCAGCTGCGCCGTGCTCAGGTGATGTTACTGCCACAGGTGATGCGCCACACATACAATCCAGCCCACACCCACCCACCCCATCCCCACCTCACCTTCTCCCCCTGCACCACGCGCATCACATCCCTGTAGTGCGCCGAGTGATGGTATGCCTCCACCAGCTGCGCCGTGCTCAGGTGGGCGGCGCCAGGTGCCACAAATTCCACACCTGACTCTGTTGGAATCTCCTGAATAAAATCCGCCACGTCCACATGGGGAGGCTTGCGGTACCTGAGAGGGGGAGGGGGTAGGGGGAGGGGGTGAAGGCAGGGAGGAAAAAATGGAGAAGAATTGAAGAGGGACGGAGGAAGAAAAGGGCAAGAGGGAAAAGGACAACAGCAAGGGCCCCACACACACACACGCACACACACACACACACACCCACACATGCACACAAACACACACACAAACACCCACACCCACACACACAAACACCCACACCCACACACACACACACCCAGCCAACCACCCACCCACCGACGCACTCACCCCAGCCCTTCAAAGTAAGTCAGCACATCAGCCTGTGGACCCTGGTAGATGATACTGCCCTCGCTCAGCACTATCACCCTGGGATGGGGGGACACGCATGAGTGGAATGCAGGGGAGGGAGGCTTTGGAGACGAATCAAGTGCTCCTGTGTAGCTTGTAGCTCTATCAGCCCGTGGACCCTGGTAGATGATGCTGCCCTCGCTCAGCACTATCACCCTGTGGGAGGGACGCATGAGTGGAATGGAGGGGAGGGGAGGGGAGGAAGGCTTTAGGGACGTCCCAAATGGCATGGCTGCGTAATATTGCCCTGGGGGGTGGGAGGGGGACACATGAATGGGGGGCGGAGGAATGGGAAGGTGGGGAGACGAGAAGAGACGAGACGAAACGAACTGACAACAACAGGAACTCAAGTGATGATACCTGGTCCAACCAAAATGGCTACAGAAGAACCAGAAGAACAACTACTATGTCGTACGTCGCACTGCTGTCCAGCCCCTTTCCCCCAACGCCTCCTCTCATTCCCCCCAGGAATCCCCACCTGTCAAAGAGGTTGAACACTTCGGGCGGCGGCTGCAGCAGAGAGAAGGCGTTGGTGGTGCGGCGCACGCGGGCAATGGTGCGAATGGCCGACACTATGTCGTACGTCGCACTGCTGTCCAGCCCCGTGCTGATCTCGTCAAATGCCATCACCACAAACATGCCTGGGTGTGTGGGGCGGAGAGGAAGGGTTGCAGGGGAAAGTAAGGGGTGTGGATTGGAAAAGGGGAGCTGCATCGATGCAAGTGGCACTGCTGTCCAGCCCCGTGCTGATCTCGTCAAACGCCATCACCACGAACATGCCTGCTCGCAGGGTATGGGGGGTGGTAGTGGAAGTGGGTATGGGAGAAACGAGGGGAGGAGAGGGGTTGAGGCAAGTTCCCCTCCACTGACGCCCCGCACGGTGCGGCTGCCCACGATGGTGCCGGCCGCTCCCTTGAGCCCCAGCAGGTGCAGCCGACCACACACACCCACCATCACTTCTCTTGCATCACCACACGTACGTACCCGACATCATCTCAGCGGTTGTCACGCGGTGCCGCTCCCCTCCACTCACGCCCCGCACGGTGCGGCTGCCCACGATGGTGTCGGCCGCTCCCTTGAGCCCCAGCAGGTGAAGCGTGAACTCCAGCTTCAAGTCCATGCCGCCCAGCTCCGTACGGATCTGGGGGAAAGGAGGAGATGGGGGGGGAAGGGGAGGTGATGGGAAAAGAGATGGGGAAGAGAGAGGGGGAGATCGCAAAAGCAGGTGAAGCGTGAATTCCAGCTTCAGGTCCATGCCGCCCAGCTCCGTGCGTATCTGGAGGGAATAGAGTGGGGGATCACGGGAAAAAGGAGGTGGGGAAGAGAGAGAGAGGGGGGATCACAAAAGCAGGTGTGGTGTGAACTCGAGCTTCTTGGTGGTGCTGCTGCTGGGTGTCGTATGAGTGAGCGTCATGGCCATAGTGCTCTGATGCTGCTGCTGATAGAACGCCTTGTGTTGCTATGCTGCCTGGACATCTCCCTTTGCCTCGTGCTGTTCGGGGTCATCCATGGCTGTGTGAGTAATGTGCTCATGGGTTGCTGGAGTACGTATGGTACTGTGGTCGATTGAATTGTTCCTGGCCGAGTGGTCTAAGGCGCCGCACTCAAGTTGCGGTCTCGCAAGAGGCATGGGTTCAAACCCCGTCTCTGACACTTTTTGTGACCATGCCCCCCAGCTCCGTGCATATTTGAAAGGGTTGGAAATTTGGGTGGAAGTAGCAGGAAGGGAGGAGTCGCTTCTAGATGGGGGCAAAGGAAGGGTGAGTTTGAGTTTCCAGTTCCATGCTTCAGACCCCCATTAAACTTCAAAATGAAGGCAAAACTGCTCAAACACCCGCTCACCACACATACCCACCCACCACTAACCACCACCCACTTTACCATCACCCACCACCGATCATCACCCCCCACCACCCCTCACGACGCTCACCACTGCCCACACGCACGCCTCACCCACCCCTCTGCACCACTCTCACCATCTCCATAAGCCCCTGCAGCGGCTCATAATCCTTGGGGCTGATCAATCGGCCGCACTCCTGAGCGAACTTGCACGTCTCCATGACTGTGAGCGTGGGGATGTGCTCGTCCGTCTGCCCCACAAACGCCACTTGCAGGCACAGACACCCACCCACCACTCATCCAACCGCTCACCACCCCTCAGCACCCCTCACCACCGCGCAGCACCGCTCACCATCTCCATAAGCCCCTGCAGGGGCTCATAATCCTTGGGAGTGATGAGTCGGCCGCACTCCTGAGCGAACTTGCACGTCTCCATGACTGTGAGCGTGGGGATGTGCTCGTCCGTCTGCCCCACAAACGCCGTCATGCGCCGCACCTGCACCTCCCGCCACGGCCTCCCGTTGTACGTTACTTCGCCGGACAGGCGCAGGGACTTGGTCTCTGGGAGGCGCCCTGCGATGGTCTTGTGGAAGGCGGATTTTCCTGTGGGGCAGGAGGGGGAGGAGGGAAAGAAAACGTCACGGCCGCCCGTTGTATGTCACGTCGCCGGACAGGCGAAGAGACCTGGTCTCTGGAAGGCGCCCTGCGATGGTTTTGTGGAAGGCAGATTTTCCTGGAGGGCGGGAGGACGGGGCCGAGGGGGGGGTGGGGTTGGGTGTGGGGTGGAGTGGAAGAGTCACGGCCGCCCGTTGTACGTCACGTCGCCTGAGAGGTGCAGAGACTTGGTTTCTGGGAGGCGCCCTGCGATGGTCTTGTGGAAGGCGGATTTGCCTGGGGGACGGGAAGAGGGGGGCGAGGGGGGGGTGGGGTGGGGTGGGGTGGGTTGGGGTGGGGTGGAGTGGAAGAGTCACGGCCTCCCGTTGTACGTCACCTCACTCGCCTGAGAGGCGCAGGGACTTGGTCTCTGGGAGGCGCCCTGCGATGGTCTTATGGAAGGCGGATTTTCCCGGGAGTAGGAAGAGGAAGGGGAGGAGAGCCAGGGACGAGGAAGGCCGAGAGGAGAGGCCAGTCAAAGAGAGCATGCCGCATAGAAGTTGTCTCAAGGAAAGGGAGGTTCTTGAAGGGGGGAGTAGGGACTCGGAATCCTCCTCAGAGCTGCCCTCTCATGTCATGGGGACTCCGTAACCCTCCAGTCTGGTCTAACTCTTCTCTACAATACTGTCAGACAATCTCACCGCATCCTGGGGTTGTAGATGAGCGTGAGAGAGCCGGGAATGAAATAAGCAGAGAGGTCTGAGAGAGAAAGCACGTTGTGTTCAACTGTTGAACTCCTCCCAATTAACCCCACAACAAGACAACACAGTCTCACCGCATCCGGGCGGGCCGCAGATGAGAGTGAGCGAGCCGGGCATGAAGTAAGCAGAGAGGTCTGAGAGCACGTTGAAATCCTCCCAGGGGGCAGGCGGTGAGGCGCACGGCAGGAAGCAGCCGAGAAGCTTCGACCCCACCGTCTCGTACCCCTCCTGCTTGCGCTGGATCTTGGCTGTGTAGGTCACATCGTGTAGCTTCACCACCTGGCGGGCGGGGAGGGAAACGAGGAGAAAGGAGAGAGACAGAAGGCGGAGAGGGATGAGGGAAAGGTCTTATGTCCCCTCCTGCTTGCGCTGGATCTTGGCCGTGTAGGTCACATCGTGCAGCTTCACCACCTGGCGGGGAGTGGAGGAGGGAGAGGGAAGGAGAGGGACAGGGTTGAAGAGGTCAGGGCAAGGGTCTCGTACCCTTGAACCCCCCTCCCCTGCTTGCGCTGGATCTTGGCCGTGTAGGTCACATCGTGCAGCTTCACCACCTGGTGGGAGGGAGAGGGGATGGAGGGGGAGAGGGAGGGAGGGGGAGGGAGGAGTTCAACGGGAGACAGCGAGGATGTGGGTAAACGACTGATGAGAGGAGAGACTGTGGGGAGGGATACGGGGGAGGTGGCTGGGGAGGGGAGGCCGAGAGAGCGGGGTGGATGTGCAAAAGAAGAGAGGGAAAGGGAAGAGGATAAGCCTGTTGTGGTATGGCAGCGGAGGTGGATGAATGTGAGGAGAATTGTGATGGCGTAAGAGCATACTATGCAGTGCAGCGAGAAAGGGGTGAAGAAGGGTGGTTGGGTGGGTTGTTTTGGGGGGGGGAAAGAGGGTTGGTGGGAGAGTGAGGGACGAGTGATGAAAAGCGAGATGTTTATTCAAGAAGGAAGGGGGTGCAGGGGCTTCGGAAAGGGAGAGAGGTGGAGGGAAGGGGAGGGAGGTGGGCAGTAGGCGGTGTGCTGCCAATGCCAACTGTGCGAATGAACACGAGTGCAATCACGCCCATGCATGCATGCATATTGACGGTGTGTATGACTGCAACGGACCCTTTACTTCCCCACTTCAACACTCTTCTTTTACCCCCCACCAGCCATGCCCCTTCCATTCCGCCCCCTTCCCACCCAACCCCCACATCCCTTCCCTTCCCTTCCCCCTCCCCCTCCCCTTCCCGTCCCCCTCCCCTCCCCTCCCTCTTCCCCCTTCCCCCACACCCCCACCTGTTCGGGCATGGGCGGAAGGTATTGACTGAGTTTGACCAGGAACGTCAGCAGCCCGTCGCGCAGCAGCAGGTCAATGCCGGTCAACCCCTCCCTCTTGGACGGCACGCGGAACGACACGCGCTGCAGCTGCTGCGCGCGCTGGATAGGGGGAATAGGGGGGCGGGTGCGGGGGCGGAAAGCGGGGGGGCCGGGAAGCGGAGGACCGGGAAGGCGGGGGCGGGAAGCAGGGACGGGAATAGGGAGGGGGAAGCGAGGAGCGGGAAGCGGGGCGGGGGGACGGGGAGCAGGGAAGTGAGCGGGGGTTGAAGAAGCGAGCTGATCGATGAGTCATAAGCACAATGAGTCAACGTGATGGATGCGACATTGCATTGCACCGCACTCCACCGCGCCCCACTATTATGATAATGCGCCCCACCGCATGATGGCGCGCAGTTCAGCGGCGACGCAAGGACGGGATCCTGCGCTGACGTTCACATGACATCACACTGTTACCACCACACACATCCCTGCAAGTCTCGGAAAAAAGGGGCCGACAAACTTCCCTGCACTCTTCCCGTCGGTAATCGCGGGGGCAACGCCGCATCGCATCCCACAACAACACAGCCTCGCACCCTACTCTTCGCCAACGCATCAACGCCGTTAGCGTTCGCGCAAGGCCGCGGCGCGCAACGCTACACCACACAACGCTACCCCGCACCGCGTCCCATCCCACCGCACTAGACCACTACCTCCGCCAGTAGCACCACCTCAAACACCCTCTCACCTCCATGATGCCCCGGTAAGCCTCCGCGGCGGCTTCTCGTTCCCCCACTTCCACCAGCCGCACGTGCTGCTCTATCCAAAGCTCTACCAGCACGTCTTTCGCTAGCCCCGTCAGCACCCCGCGCAGCTTCCCGTAGTCGAACTCCGCCGCGCCTTCCGCGGCTTCCCCCGCCGCTGCGCCTGCGCCTGCGCCAGCCGCCCCCCCGCTGCCCGCCTCCGCCGCGCCGCCTTGCGCTAACAGCGGCTGCTCCTCTTCCTTCTTCTGCTTCTTCTCCCCCGCCGCCGCCCCCGCCGCAAGGCCCCCGAACGTCGCCGCTGCGCCGCGCATGGCGGCGCTTCCCCCGGCCGGGGCGGACATCAGCAGGGGGACGCCGCCGCGCGGTTTCCCGCCGACGGTGTGTCGGCGGAACGTCCCCGCGGCGGGGCAGCGCGGCGTGTCCGTCCGGCCGTGCCATTGGCGGAGCGTTTCCGCGAAGTAATGCACGTCGGCGGCGGACAGCTCCTCATCCTCCGCAGCACCGACCGGCGGCGGCCCGGAAACTGAGGAACCGGCGGAAGGAAGAGCCGCGGAGCTTCCGCCTGTGCCTTCTCCGGCGGAAGAAAATTGAGTCGCTGAATCGTGCGCTTGCCCCGCGGGCTGATTGCCTGCGGCGGATATGGTTTCCCCCACCGCGGAAGGTCCGGGAGGCACCCTTTCCGCTTCAACGCTTGCTGAAAGGCTCGTCGTAGCCACGGCTACAGCCTCGGCCGCGTTTCCGCTGTTTGGGTTTGGTGGCGGTGCTCCTGGCGGCAGTTCGGCCGCACTCTCATCCGCCATTTTCACTGCCGCAAGTGAAGCTCAGGTGCTCTGAATAGGAAGCTACCAGAGCATGTCAATTCGTAAGCAGTTGTTAGACTTCGTAGGCTGATTGATACACAGTGAGCAAGCCCATAGATTGTTGAACTAGCAGAAACAGGTCATACAACAAGAGTGCTCTTTCCACCCCACCCCTGGAAAGTTCCCGTTGTTCGAATCTCAGGACGTGTTCGAGGCTCGGAATGCAGGCCATTCAAATCAAATTTAGTTTACATTACAAAAGGACGCTTGGAAAGCCTGAAGTCGGCTCGGTAACCACGTAAAGAAGGCTCGGAAGAACTTAGGGAGGGTTGTAAGATGTGACTCGATGTTGATACACCCCATTCTCGATAATTGCACACCCCCTACCCCCTATTTCGAAGGTACCCTGTACGTTTTCTGGCTCGATGTGACGGACGCCCAAAGATTGACGAGGGTAGTTATCGAGCCTCGCACTTAATTTTCCGAGTGAGTAGTAGGGGTGGATGGCTGCCCTTGGAACTCTGGTTTCTTTTCTTCCATTCGCGAGCAGGTTGCGAGACTCCCTCCTCCGAAAGTCTACAATCGTTGCTTGCTACCCAACTTTAACGTTTAACCAAGAGTAATTACCCCAGGGTGTGCGCTTAAGGGGTGTGAAATTATCGAGAATAGGGTTGTACGCCCTCAAGCTGGCGGCTGTTGCGCATATCCAGGGCACGTGGTGAGCCCGTGGAAATCCATGGGATTGGTTTGGGCGCCCTTTTGTAATCGTTTGTAATAAGGGTGCCAGCCTGCCAGCAAGAGAGTGAAGATTCTCTACAGTCAGGAATAAAGGGGAGTGTTACTATAAGGAAGTTTTTAGCTGTGAATGTATGCATTCTTGTCATGTTATACATTAGGTCAAAAATAAAGGAAGTCTCTCATAAGTGTTACGTACGCAATGGAAGGAGCAAAATAGTGTTGCAAGGGGTCAAAGGACTAGTACAATGTGTGCCAAGGCATGAGCTAACACTATATAGCCAAAATTACCGTACTAACGTAACGCGCAAATGTGAGCTATATATACAATATTGGCATCGAGGTTGTTGATATAATCCGGGAATCGAAGTGGATAGGATAAGATTGCTAAGTTATAGGAAGACAATGAATTCGTTGTAGTGACCTTGTTAATAAGGTGTTAATAAGGTTGAAAGAGAACAAGATGATCAAAAGATAGAGATACAAGGGTATAAATAACAAACTAGCTAGCCATGTATCCTGAGGGGTACATTCCCTTATTTAACTGTATTGCATTGCTACAGTAACCGCGAGTATTACTCTACTCGACAGTTACCATGTTGCATAATGTAACCTCCGAGTACGGTAACTGGATAGTCAACAGTCACGACCGTTGACTGATTTCGACTGTTGACCTTCGGGTGACTCTCAAGCTTCCGCATGCTCTATATGAGCTATTGCGGTATTGCTACAGTCGTGCTTCTTCGTTATGAAGTGGCGCGTTGGGAGAGAACCTTCGGGAATGTTATAATAACCTTTCGGTTATTCCAACACTCCCCTTCATTCCTGAAGGTGAGCCACGTGGGATTTCTTCGAGATCCGGCAGAGGTCGGTGCAGTGCTGGAACTTCTGACGTGGCAGCTTCTTGGTCAAGAAATATGCTGCCATGTCACCGGTTGGGGCAATACGTGAGTTTGACCTTGCCCTTGTCGATTTCGTCGTTGACGAAGAAGTAACGGAGTGCGATGTCCTTCGTGCGGTTCACGAATCCGGGCTTGTTCGCGATCTTGATCGCGCTCTGATTGTCGCAGAGTAATGTGAAGTGCCCGTTCATCGTCACTTTCGCTTCCTGCAGGAGCTCCATCAGGTACAACCCTTCGCGAACAGCTGCGCTGGCGGCGATAAACTCAGCTTCGGCTGACGAAAGAGCAATGAGCTCATGCTTCTGGGAGTTCCAGGAGATGAGTCCAGCAGGTTGGAGTTGAAATATGAAACCTGTGCGGGAGCGTCTGTTGTTAGAATCTCCCGCATGGTCAGCATCTGCGTAGCCGTGAAGCTGCAGGGTGGCAATTAAGTTGGCTTCGTAGGTGAGTCCGACGTCAGGGGTAGAGATGAAGTATTGGAGTGCTCGGCGTAGGTCCAGTAGATTCTCCCCTTCAGGTCGCTTCAGGTACTTTGCGAGCTGGCTTGCGACGTAGGAGAGATCCGGCCGGCACGTGACGGCGGCGAATAGGAGACACCCCAGCTGCTGCTGATAGAGCCGATGATTTTCGATGGAGAGTGGCGTGGTGTCGGGTTCATGATTAGGAGGAGGAGTGCGGAAAGGGGTGGTGAGGTTGATCGGGGCGATGGCGAATTTCTTCGCGAGAGTTTCCGCGTATTTGGCGGCAGAGGTGAATGGAGGTGGCGGACCGTGTAATGTTGAGACCCAGGAACTGCGTGACGTTGTGGTTGATCGTCACCTCCAGCCTCCCCTTGATTTCTTCCTCGAACCGGTCAAGCAGCTCCGTGTCATCGCCGGTGTAGAGGAGGTCGTCGACGTAGGCGACGAGAAGGATGAATTTGCCGCGCGACTCCTTCCGGTACATCCCAAGGTCATGCGGCAGCTGAGTGAATTTGAGCTCCGTGAGAACGGTGTGCAGGTACTGCTGCCACAGACGAGGTGCTTGTTTAATCCCATAAAGAGATTTCTGGAGAAGGCAGACGGCACCGTCGCTTTCTTCGAAGGCGTGCGGTTGCTCGACGAAGATAGTGGCGTCGACAGGCGCGTAGAGAAATGCACTTCCGGATCGATTTGTCGGAGCGGACTCGGTTTGACGGCTGCGATGCAGATGAGGATGCGGACTGAGGTGTGCCTTCTGACGGGCGTGAAGGTCAGGTCGTAATCCACCATTTGAGTTTGTTCGAAGCCGCGCACCACCCACTTCACCTTGTACTTATCAATGGAGCCGTCCGCGAGTGTTTTGATTCGGAAGACCCATTTTCAGCTGAGAATTTTCCTCCCCTTTGCAGATGATCGGTGAACCAGCTTCCATGTCCCGCGACTCTTTGGTGCCGCTACTTCTGCTGCCATGGCTGCCTTCCATTTCTCACTGTCGAGTCCAGACAGGGCCTGGCGAACGGTGGTAGGTTCCTTGGGGGAGGTGTGGCGAACAGCGACTGCGAGCCCAAGGATCCGGAGAGCGGTTTCGTTTGTCTTTTTGTAGTGGAGGGGGTCATAGTCGTGGAAGCTGGTAACTTCGACAACGTCGTCGTTGCTGTCGTGGCCGGTGCGGATGGTGTCTTGCGAAGGGTTGCCCGGTGGTTACTCGGCATCCGGAGATTGGCGTGCTGTGCTGTTGTAGTTGTGGGCTTCACGGGTTGTATCGTCAGGATCGAATTGAGAAACAGGGATGTAAGTTGGGGTTTGGAATGGGCTTGTAAGGGGGATGTTGGGAAAGGAATCGAATAGTGTGTTGTCAGTTGCGTCTGCGTCCTCTGCCAGGTCAGCCTCATCCTGTGACGTGGCGAACCTGCGGTGCCCCTAAAAAACCCTCTCTGGTGCTTTGTCAGCTTCGCGATGTTCTCTGAACAGTGGTAGGGTCAGCTTCTTGTAGAAGATGCAGTCACGTGATTTCGTCACCCCGTGTGTCGCGTAGTCCAGCACGATCCACGCCTTGTATTCTTATTCGATTCCGAGGTGAATGCCTCAGCGTGCCCGGTCAGCAAACTTTCCCGTCCTTGTTGTGTGTGGCCTGTACTGTACCATGCAGCCGAACACCCGAAGAACACGCGTGTCAGCTTTTCTGCCCGTCCAAGCTTTGTAGGGCGAGGTGTTGTTCTCGAGGCTTCGGGAGGACAGCAAGTTGTGCAGCCGAACAGCGTTCGCAAACGGCCAAAACTTTGTTGGGATGGCGGACTGCTTCATCAAAGCCCTCATCCTTGTGGCGAGGCTCCTGTTTGTCCGTTCTGCTACTCCCTGCTGCTCGTGAGCGTAGGGCAAGGACACCAGATGCTCAATCCCTTTCTTGGTGAAGAATTCCTTGAACTCAGTTGAGAAAACCTCAGCTCCTCCGTCCGTCTGGTAGCTTTTCAGCTTCAGTCCTGATTGAGGTTCTGCGCGCTTCATCTAGGCTATGAAGCAGTCGAAGGCAAGAGAGCGACAATCGGTGTTGACAGCCCAGACGTAGCGTGTGGATGCGTCGATGAAGGTTCGCGTGTCCTTCTCGCCGTCAAGCCCATCTTGGCTGAGAATCATGAAGTCGTTGTAGACTTTTTCAAGTGGTTGGTAGCGTTCGTAGCCAGGAAGCAGGTTGGGGAAGGGCTTGTGAGCGAGTGACGCGGTGGGGCAGATGGTGCACGGCAGGTCGTCTGAAGTTGTTGTGAGGGCACCACCCCTGGGAAGTAGCAGTGCATCTGAGTCGAAGACTCCGGCTTTGATGGAGTTCTTGAGCGTGACGTGGGAGGGGTGTCCGAGTCGTTGATGCCAAATTTCTGGTTATGCTCAGTAACCGACGGTTTTCTGATAATATTTGTTTCTTTCTGCTTCGTCTCGCTGCTCCGTTTCATGTCCTTTGTCGGTGGCGGCGCTCACGTCATATGCGAAGGCTCGGGCGGAGACTCGTTCCAGGACGGCGTCGGGAATTCCGGCGATGTCGTCCGAATCGGCGGTGTGAATTGGGTCGCCGGTGACGAGTGGTCGCGGAAGTTGTGCCGGATTTCGTGCCGGCTCGGGCCACTCGGAAGCGGGAAGTCCTTCCATCGGAACACGATGATAGAGATATTCGTCGCTGGTGACCGAGATCAGCTGAGGTCCTTGTGATGGCGGCGGCGCTTCCTCGTTAGGTTCGGGTAACTCTACTGCTCCTCCGAACTCGTAAGTTATTCCTTCTGACTCCTCTTTTGTTTCCTCTGGTGTGTCAGGAGCGTACTGATCTGGAAGAGGAGGTCCGCCCCAACTTGTTCCGCGCGTTGCCCAGTACGGATCTATCTCCGCCACCGCAGCAGGGGGGAGTGCTGAAGCCTTG